AATGTCCAGCCATCAACACATTTGTGAAGGAATTTTTACTCGCCAAAAGAGCGCCCCCCATGGCAGGAGAAAAAGTCCATTTTTTCTTGTCTCCTAAGGCGAAAATACACATTGTTGACTGTCACGCCTTTACGCTTTGTCAAAATGACACAAAATTTGACACACACATGTATCTCAATAAGATCTACAAAAAAGTCAGTGCGGGCGTATCTGTCAAATGTACGGTTAAAGGGTTATTTCACATTTTTTGCCGATCCGCACACATTGGAATTTCGCTAACTCCTCCTAAATCTTTTGTCCCATCGGCTTCAAATTTGCTCAGGTCAATCTACACCCCATGGCCATTCAAAGTTGTACAAATCATGACGCTGCACCCCACAGTTTACGTTCTAGGGGGCGCCAAAGAGGACCCAAATATCCACATTTTTAAAAGTCTTATAACTTTTTATTTTTGTCCTCACTGGCCTCCAAGTTTTCTAGGATGATGCAATGTCCAGCCATCAACACATTTGTGAAGGAATTTTTTCTCCCCAAAAGAGCGCCCCCCCATGGCAGGAGAAAAAGTCAAGTTTTTCCTGCCCATCGCTCAATGGCTCAAACGCATCGCTCTCTCTGCAAAACCGAAAGGAGGAGCAACTTGCCATTTGGATATATACTAGCTGTGTTTGTGCCCTCACTCATGGTCCAGACTTTTTTCAAATAGGACATGTAGTTTGTCTGCAGCGAGCGTTTTGGTAGAAACTGCGCCTCCCATTCATTATAATGGGAAATGACCACAGACAAGTGCGCACACCATCTTTGGACCTTGAGTGTGACGCGATCGGGAGGGGGAGGCGGTCGCGCTGGGGGCGGCGCGACACGGCTCGGGCCCGACAGTGCCCCACCGGGGCCCTAGTTTCTTTCTTTCTTTTTTCTTTTTCCTCCCCTTTGAACTGGAAAATGGCCCACTTCCCACTGGCGAAAACTCATGAAATTTGGCAGGACGACCGGGCCTGGTGAAAAATTCGATATTCTGAAGTCGCCCAAACAAGAAAATGCAAAATGGCTCCATAGCGCCCCCTAAGGTAAAAATTCACACTATTGACTGTCACGCCTGTACGCTTTGTCATATTGACACAAAAATTGACACACACATGTATCTCAATAAGATCTACAAAAAAGTCAGTGCGGGCGTATCTGTCAAATGTACGGTTAAAGGGTTATTTCGCATTTTTTTCCGATCCGCACACATTGGAATTTCGCTAACTCCTCCGAAGGCTTTCGTTCCACCGGCACCACATTTGCTCAGGCCAATCTACACCCCGTGGCCATTAAAAGTTATCAAAATCATGACGCTGCACCCCAAGGTTTAGGTTCTAGGGGGCGCCAAAGATAACACTAAAATCCACATATTTAAAAGTCTTATAACTTTTTATTTTTGTCCTCACTGGCCTCCAAGTTTTCTAGGATGATGCAATGTACAGCCATCAACACATTTGTGAAGGAATTTTTACTCCCCAAAAGAGTGCCCCCCCATGGCAGGAGAAAAAAGTCCATTTTTTCTTGTTCCCTAAGGTAAAAATACACATTGTTGAGTGTCACGCCTATACGCTTTGTCAAAATGACACAAAAATTGACACACACATGTAACTCAATAAGATCTACGAAAAAGTCAATGCGCGCGTATCTGTCAAATGTACGGTTAAAGGGTTATTCCGCATTTTTTGCCGATCCACACACATTGGAATGTGGCTAACTCCTCCTAAGGCTTTCGTTCCACCGGCACCACATTTGCTCAGGACAATCTACACCCCATGGCCATTAAAAGTTATTCAAATCATGACGCTGCACCCCACGGTTTAGGTTCTAGGGGGCGCCAAAGATAACCCTAAAATCCACATATTTCAAAGTCTTATAACTTTTTATTTTTGTCCTCACTGGCCTCCAAGTTTTCTAGGATGATGCAATGTCCAGCCATCAACACATTTGTGAAGGAATTTTTACTCCCCAAAAGAGCGCCCCCCATGGCAGGAGAAAAAAGTCCATTTTTTCTTGTCCCCTAAGGTGAAAATACATATTGTTGAGATTCACGCCTATACGCTTTGTCATATTGACACAAAATTTGACAATCACGTGCCTTGCCTGGTATCATTTTTTTCAGCACAACCTCACCTGTGCGAATTTACAGTTATTTTATCATGTTGACATACTGAATTTACACAATGGACCCAAATTCACACACAAAACATAAAATCCGAGTGGAAAAAAGTAACATTTTTACTGTGAAAACCACAAATATGTGTGATGAACTGTTTTTAAAACTTAAACTTCAAATAAAAATTGTAAACTTCAAAACATATGCAAATTTTTAACAAAGAACATAGTGATTTACCTCTATTTTCATCAAAATGCAGGCAATGGCCCAGGCGTTCTTTGTAAAATTATTTACAAAACACTGTATAGTCTCACAAATGTCACTTTTTATTTATGCCACTACAAAAAAACATGATGTAAATGATGCATGATGTAAAACATGATGTAAAAAACTTGTGTAGATCCTCCTCTATGTCAGTCCATGTGTAATTTTTCCATAATTCTTTGTTTTTTGCAGCATTTTTGTTAGTGTAACTGCAGATTGTGCTGACAGTGTCTATGGCACAAAAAAAAAAAAAAATTTAAAATGCCTCAACATGAACCCCTGGTGGTCTCTGAGGGTGAAACCTGCTAACTGCTGCAGCTCTGTCAGCTTCAGTCTCCCATGCAGAGCTCTGAGCGCATGTGTGGCTCTGCACCCTTAGCAGCGTTGCTAACTCCTCAGTAAGGAAAGCCTGCTTCATGTCAGAGTCTCTAAACTCCAGAAGAAGTCGATAAAAGTCCCTTTCTTTCTAAAAAAAAGTCGTTAGGGGGTCTGAAAAGTCATTGAATCTAACAACAAAGTCGCTAGGTTTGCAACTACGTGTCCCAGACTGCATCCCTGCTGAGAGTCCCTCCCTCCCTTCTCATGTTGCAGGAAGAACGTAAGCGCCCGCCCCTTGTCAATCAGTCACCATATAATTTTGGATTGGTTGTTGTGGTGAAGTTTTCCACCAATAGGAGAGATGTTGTGGTGTGTTTTTTTTTTCTTTTGGCAAGCCTTTTCCGCCTGTAAGACCTGTCGCTAATGTCTGCATGCTATGTTTTCCTGTCTCATACAGCGCGATCGAGCGCCGAACGTGATCAAAATAAGCAGAAAAAAAGTATCGCGGACATAATTTATCATAACTCTGGTTTTATTTGGCCTATCAACACAATTTAAAAACTGGTATATAGGTTGAGGTCCTCACTTTTGAGATAAGTTGAAACGGAGAGTCAACGAGGCTCCGTCTTGCAGCTACATCCGATTAAATATGTCATGTGACTTGAACGCACACACAGACACACACACACGCACACACACACACACACACAGACACACACACACACACACTCAGAGTCTGGTTTTTAGCACCTGCAAAAACATGCTATTTACATATTTGACAAGAATGCAGAGGCTCCTTTTGCCCCTGAAAAAAATCAAATTTCAAACACAACTTGACTGGTCATTTCTCCAAAAGACAACCATGAAGCTCCATCCAAACCTGAAGCAGGCAGTTGGTGCATGTGTACAGTAACCTGAGGGGAGTGAGGTGAGTGCTTCTGAGGAGAACATGAGCAGTGAAGATTCACCTTGGAGCTAGAACAGAGACATGCACATGATTATACAGGGGCAGGGGCTCAAGTTTTTTCCAGTCGTTTATACAATATGGAAATTAATGTGAAATTAAAACACAAAGTATTAATAGAAAGGTAATGACTGTCCTGTGTAGGTGACAGTGATATCCAATAGGCTAGGCACTCACGAGGCTGGCTGTGGCAAGTGTAAGTGAAAGCAACACGCACTGGCAGGAAGAACAGCAAACGCCGATGAAGGAAAAGGGTCTTTGCAGTGATGGGCGTTACCAGAGAGGGCGATGGCCAGAGGACACAAATGGGACGGGGAGGCAGCACGTTGGGTGGGGGGGGGGGACGCGACACGGCTCGGGCCCGCCAGTGCCCCAACGGGGTCCTAGTTGTTTATTGTTACTCTGAAGCCAGAAGCGGGGACACATCATTTTGTAGTTTTTCAATCATTTTTAAAGTAAGGATGAATCAAATCACTGTACCTGTTTGCCTCTGATAGGCAAATAAAGCGCTTTTAGAGCTGCTTTTGTTCTGGCACTATACTGGGGCAGCTGTTTACCTTCTCAACACCTTGTTTTCTATATTTACATTTGTATTGAATGGACACTTTATCATGACTGCCACTTGTTTTACAGAAAGCAAATAATTTGTCATTCTCCAGTGCAGAGCCTTTACTTTTTTATATACAGCAGCTTTATTTCATTTAAGTTTGTTTGTTTGTTGTGAACCTCAACACTTCAGAAAACCTCAGGATCTGGGGGCCCTTCTAAAAATGGCCCTCAGGATTGTGTTTTTTTCTATTTAAATATTTTTGCAATTGAGAAATATTTCATTTTTGTTGTTGTAATCATAATAATACTACATAATAATACAAAACTATCTGTTCAAAAATCTATCTTTTTGTGTATCTGTGTGTGTTGGGGGGTTAAAGCAGTGCTGGCCCCGGGAGTAATTTTGTCTAGAATTGCCACTAGTTAGTGGGACTCTCTCCTCACTAGAAAGGGTCACTTCTCCTCTGCCATAGTTTTCTCCTGTCCCCGTGACTGCTGTTTCACTACTTCTCCACAGAATAGGCCTCCTCTCTCTGCTACACCACCTACTCATCAAGAAAAAAACAAATACATTTAAGAAAGAAATGATCCTTTTTCGTATGTTTGTGGTCATCACAAATGTGATTGTCAAATTAGGTCACAGGCCAAAAATGTGTTACCCTCACTGTTTAGCAATTCTTTTTGTATTTCTTGTGCTTATATAACATAACAGAAATGTTTGATGGTTGATATGAAGTTTAACAAATATAATAACATCTATTATACTTTCAGATGCCAAAACTGAAGGGTTGGCGCCAGTCACAGGCCGCAACCAGGCGACACGCTCAGCGCGAGTTCCTGATTGTTGGTCCACAAGGCCACAGTGATGACATGCCTCCAGGTGTGTAACATTTTCTTTTAAATGTATTATTTTTTTCTTCAGGTCACTATATTAGTAACAGTTTCTTATTCCTCTAGGAAAAAAACACATCCTAATCAAGTTTACTGTTTGACTTTTACAATGATATATGTCAATGTTGTCTGTTTTAATAGGCATTGCCGGGACTGGTTATCGCCATTGCGTTAACCAGTGGCCAATATCTGTGTTGACTGGTCACCAACACAAATTGGTCATTCCTCCTGAGGATCCTGACAAGAAGGTATGATACTGACATTGTTTTTTACCCTCACAACACATATTTTAGCTGATACAGTATTTAATGAGTACTTCTCCCTTTTCCATCCTAGTTTGTTCTTATTGTTGGTGACTCTCACCTGCGCCCGTTTGTTGATGGGGTTGTGCCATTGCCTGAAGGAAGGATGTCGTTTGGCTTCATGTCCACACCAGGGGTCTGTGCTGACGAACTGAGGATTGAGATGCTACACGCTGCTGTACCTCGCAGTCCTGACTTGGTCATCGTCATGGCTCCTAGCAACAACCTAACTGCCCATGGGCCTCTTGAGAAGTCGTCAACAGATTTTGCTAAACTTCTCTCCACTGCCGTTGGGAGGTGGTTCAAGGTGGGGCTATGATCTCATTAACACATTTTATAGTATCTCAATTAGTAGTTATGCTCTGTAATAACTCTTGTATTCCTTGTCCTTCTGGTGTGCTTGTGCTATTTTTATAGGTAATTGTGTATGATTTTCCACCTCGGCTGAACCACCCTTTGGACCACCAGGAGCTCCTGCGGCAGGAATTCCGTCGAGTCGCGGCACGTATGGGTAAGTTTTACAACACTTTAAATTTGCCTTCATGACAAAATTCTAAATGACAATAATGTCATCATAAAACCAATCACATAAAACATCTACAAAAAACACATACAAATTACATGTATCTTTTAGAATCCATCACAACTCTGTACATTTTATGGAGAAGGTGAAAGAATACTTGTCTTTTCTGTTTTGAATAAAATACGCACATCTGTACTTATGCTTCATTTTGTCTCACTTTACATTAACAGGCATTCGATATGTTTGTCCTGCTGCTGATGACTTCCCCCTGAGACGCTGCAAGCTGTGGTGCAGGGATTCTGTAAGTACAATCCCTACTCATCTTATGTTTCATATGGACTTGTCTTCTTTGTAGGTCCATCTCAGTGATGACGGTGGGTCGCCTATTCTGGGGCAGCGTCTCTGGCAGGCGGCCTACACTGAACTGGAGACAGTTGTCCCTGCATCAGTGCTGTTGGTGCCGCACAGGCGTTTCCCCCCCCCGAGCACTGTCACACCAAAGGTGGTTGTGAGGGGGGAGGTGCCTGCATCTCAACCATCCAACCCCTTTGAGTGGACAGTGTGTGGAAAGGAGCGCAAGGTAAACATACAATTCCTGTGTGTATACATGTAGTACATGTATTTAATACAGTATTGTTAATTCTCAACTTACTTATCACAGCAGAAGCTCTCTGGCAACGGGGTGGAGGACTCTGCTCCATGCACGCAGCAGGTTTGTCATCCTTTATATGACACACCTATCATACAAAACCACTCTCATCAGAGTTTCTGTGTGGATTGCACACATTTTCTTTGAAAAGAAACCCTCTTCTAAAGTATTACTTTTTTTTTCCTTTCTTTTTTTCTCTCTCCTTCTCATCCTAGTTGTCAGCAGTTGGGTTGCGGGAGTGTTTTGTGCGTCTCAACCCTCTCCATTTCAGTGCACACCTGCTGGATGCCATGGAGAAGATTTCGCCGTCCCAGCTTCCCAACCCTGTTCCACACGATGATGAGGTCAGTGAGAATGTCGAACTACAGTTGCGCTTTTATTGTTCATTCATAAAACGTTTTGTGTTACACAACAACAATGCTTATAAAAAATATTTTTTCATTCAGATGCCACCTGTGGAACCACGCAGGACTGTGGTTGCATCTCAGAGGATCCCTGCCAGGAAGAAGGTTTGTTTCTTCATTAGCACACATGGTTTATTAATTTGCAAGCGCACAGAACTAGGTTTGCATCAAAACCAAGTATATCATACTGAACTGAAATAATAACATAGAAATTTTACTTGGCCTTTTATTTCAAAAGATTTTCTTCTTTATTCATACACAAATGAGATCTTAGTATTATCAGTTGATGGGTTGCATTCATCAAAATGCATCTTACCTTCAACTATAAAAGTACACTTTTTTACAATTTGCCCTTTGTATCAATGACAATATATTTATGCACAAACTTTTGTGTGCAGGGAAGGGCTTTGCGTGTGCAGAGCCCAGCTGAGCCCAAGACGACTGAGGTGCCTCCTGCTACAGAAGTCACTTCACCTGAGGTGGACTTGGACAAGGCGGCGGAGCTCCAGACGTCCCCGGGCGTGGTGACGGTGAACACTGCCACCCTGTCAGCACCCCAGCCAGATGGAGGCACCCAGGTGGAACAGGTAAGTGCGCATAAACATCCTCTTTCCCCCTCTCTTGTGTTTGGTGATTTTGATCACTCACTTGTGCAGGTTAGCAGTGTGAAGAAAGAGGCAGTACAGTTTCTGTGCACTCAGATTGAGGGTGAGATGTCTGACCCAGGTCGGGTAAGACACAGTGTCCTGGGATCATTTCACCAGGCGAGTGATCTTTTGAGTAATCCCGGACAACAGTGTATGGCAATTGGGCTGGCCAGCGTTGCCAAACACAGTGTCAAAAGCGTTTTCTCATGGAGTGTGGACGATCTCGACACAGCTTTGCTCTGTGGGGATCAACTGTACACATATCTGCGAGATAACAACAAAATCAGTGGCGAGACTGATTTTTTGTGTTTTCCTGATTTGCCTGCTTCACACACAATTGATGGCATGGAGTTTGACTTTGAGTATGGTGATTACGTGTCCGGACTCATCAACCAGACTGATGGGTCACCCATTGCACCTGGGTTGACAACATTGCTGCATGGTCTACAAATTGTGTTCGCCGAATATGACACATGCTTTTTGACATTGCATTGCAGCACATGTGTTGTCATTCGTGAGAATGGTGTGTTCGCTGTTGTTGATTCTCATGCCCGAAACGCTTCGGGCCTGGTGGATCCTAATGGCAGAAGTGTTGTTGCGTATTTCTATAACTTGCAGGAACTGTATACACATGCATTGACCTTGGCTGCATCACAGCGTGTGAGCAACCAGGCTTTTGAAGTTGCCAGTGTGCATGCAATCCCCAGAATGTCAACAATTCAAAGTATGTGTTTGCCATCCAGCCCCATACTAAATCCTGACAATGTTGTAGCAGGACTGCACATGGAGACTGTCTATGCAGATGTACAGTACAGGCCAAAAGTTTGGACACACCTTCTCATTCAATGTCTTTTCTTTATTTTTTTATATGAATATTTACAGTGTAGATTATCACTGAAGGCATCAAAACTATGAATGAACACATGTAGAATTTTGTACTTATAAAAAAAGTGTGAAGTAACCGAAAACATGTTTTATATTCTAGTTTCTTTAAAATAGCCATCCTTTGGTCTTGATGACAGAAGTACCTTGTCAGGGTTACTTCAGGCACTCTTGTGAAGTAAAAACCATTTCAGGTGACTACCTCATGAAGCTCATTGAGAGAACAGCTAAAGTTTGCAGCGCTATCAAAAAAGCAATGGGTGGCTACTCTATCTAAAATATAAAACATGTTTTCAGTTATTTCACACTTTTTTCTTAAGCACGATTCCACGTGTTCATTCATAGTTTTGAGAATCTACAATTTAAATAGTAATGAAAACAAAGAAAATGCATTGAATGAGAAGGTGTGTCCAAACTTTTGGCCTGTACTGTACATTAGGAAGTGTCATACTCCAAGCAGGGGTGTTCATCCAGTACATCAGTACACAGGAAGCAGGGCTCGAAACATCAACGCTTTGTTTCTTCTGCTGCCAAGAGAGCAAAGACCAACAATTTTGGTGATGATTTATTCATTGTTAAAGACACAAACAACGAGAGTGCAGATAATAATGATGTTGTGTGCATTGATGATGCAATAAGCCAGACTGACGATGATGTGGTGTGTGTTGGTAATGGAGACCAACAAAATTTAGTGTTTCACCCCCTTCAGTTAGATATTGCAAAAGTTTTGTGCACAACTGTAGGAATAGAATGTCAGAAAGTTGATGTGGAAGGATTTGTAGCTGGCATATTAGGACCTCCCTGCAGTAGCAGCCTATTGTCAGCGACAGCAATTGCTTCTTCAGAGCTGTGAGTCATGTTTTGTCTGGTAGCGAGAGGTTTCACAGGAAAGTCAGGTTGGCGGTTTGTAAACGTATTGAGTGTCATCCTGGATCATATGAGCATATTCTGAGACGTGAATTTATCTCTGTCAAAGAATATCTCAACATGTCCAGAATGCGATATGTGGGTAGTTGGGCCACAGAGGTGGAGATTCAGGCTGCAGCGAATTGTTTGGGGGTAAGCATTTTTACCTACGATGATGGTCGATGGCTTGAATACAGCTGTCAAGGTCAACAAGTATCAGAACAGGCAGTGTATTTGGAGAACTGCAATAACATCCATTATGAGGCTGTTGTCTGTGTTCGACGACCTAATGTGGACTGTGGTTGCTGTGATTTGTGTGAAGGTGGTTTTGCACATAGTACTGACTACGGTTTGACACAGGTGAGCAAAGCTGTGCCCTATAACCTCAGGACAGGATGTCAGGACTTCAAACAACAGACTCAAAAGATTTTAAGTCCTTCAGATAATGAAAAAGGGTTGTCAAAATATCTTAAAAAGAAGTTTTTGCAAATGAAAATTAACTACCACAAAGACTTCTTGGTTTACAACAGACGTAACCAAAATGTTAGGAATAGCTATAAGCACAATCTGTTGTATCAACAGAAACTCAAGGATTTGAGTAATGGGAAATACTTAGAAGATGAGGTGCACAAACAAAATGTTAAAGACAGAAGCAAAATAAAATACAGGACAAACGAGATGCACAAACAAAATGTTAAAGACAGAAGCAAAATTAAATATGACAATGTTGAAAAGCAAAGACAAAATGATAAAGACCAAAGCAAAAAGAATATATGGAAGATGACATACATAAACAAAAAGTAAAAGACAAGAGCAGGGGAAAAAAGTAAGGTAAAATATGGAAATGATGCATTTAGGCAAATAAAATTAGAGTTACAAAGGAAAACATACCACCTGTATAGGAAACAGTTCCTTGCATCTAAGAAACTTAGAATATTACAAAGGAAGGCAAAGCTAGAGCACATGGAGCCAGCCTTTGTGTGTAGTGTGTGCCATAGACTGTTGTTTAAACACCCGGTTTTGACTTGAAATATAAACACTTACAGCAGGAATAAGAATGCAGCTCTTGTCGCAGCTAGATGTATTCAAGATGTGTTTGTGCATAAATGTATGTCTACTTGTGCCGCACCGTGTCTTTTGAAAGCTTCCCCTCGTGGTAGTTTGTGGATTTGCCACTCATGTCATTGCAAGGTCAGTAAAGGTCAGGTGCCAGCTGAGAGTGCGATCAACAATCTGACCATTGATCCCATCCCACCTCAGTTGGCTTGTTTAAATCGTTTAGAATCGCATTTAATTGCACTCCATATCCCCTTTTTGAAGATGGTAGCTCTTCCTAGAGGTGGTCAAAATGGTCTTCATGGGCCGATTGCGTGTGTTCCAGCCAACATTGTCCAAACCAGTAACGCGTTGCCACGTTCAAACATGGAGGGTTCAGTTATTCCAGTTAAACTTAAGCGCAAGCTTACTTATAAAGGGCATTATGCGTACGAGTATGTTGACCCTTTGCATATCAAGAAAGCACTGCAGTATCTGAAAGAGAACAATCCCTTTTACAAAGATGTGCAGTTCAATGATGACTGGATAAATGAGTTCTGCAGGGATGAGAGTGCTGACAAAGAGCAGCTAAGTATTGTTGTTGAACAGGGAGAGTCAAATGCAGAGAGCTCTGAGGCGGCTGCAGCTGAGGAGGAACTTCTGCATGATCGGCAGCAGCATTGCATGTTTCAAGACACATGCTCAATGCCTGTTGATATTGGCCAGGAAGTGCTGGACCAATATTTTGATGGTGTTTTGATCTTGGCTCCAGCTGATGGACAGAATCCTGTTAAGGTTTTGTCAACAAAGGAGAACGCGGCCAAGTGTTTCCCTGTGTTGTTTCCGAAAGGTCGTGGAACATTTGTTGATAACAGAGATTTGTCTCTGAATCTGTTCCGCTATTTGAGAACAGGCTATTTAATGCTGATGGTAGGTTCGCGCAGAATAGAGTTTATTTTATATGCTTGTTACATGCTTGAGTTAGATCAAATCATGTCCAGTGTGTCGATTGCGTTGAGGAAAGGGAAAGCAGGTAAGCTTAGGACAAAGATTAGTGATCTATTGAAAGATGACGAGAACCTGCGTCAGCTTTTAAATCATGACGATGGGTACCGGTTTTTAAAACCTGTAAGGGTACTCCAGCATTTTGGCAGGGATCTCAGAAGTCTTTGTTGGCGTGCTTGCGACAGCTTGGCAAGCCTGCATGGTTTTGTTCATTTTCTGCAGCAGATTTGAGGTGGAAGGAATATTTAGAGAACATTCTTAGGGCAGAGGGACAAACGCAGACATTTGAGGACCTGGAGTGGGCAGACAAGTGCGACCTGTTGCATCGTAATCCTGTACTCGCCGCTCGCATGTTTGATTATCGCTGGCGTCTGTTTTTGAAAGAGGTGTTGATGTCTCCATCGAATCCGATTGGCAAAATCCTTGACTACTTCTACAGGGTGGAGTTCCAGCAGCGTGGCTTTCCACAACGTTCATTGTCTGTTTTGGGTTGAGAATGCCCCTGTAATTGACATGAACACAGATGATGAGGTGGTTCAGTTTATTGATAAATATGTGTCATGTGAACTACCTAATGACACTGATGATTTACATGAGGTTGTTTCTTCAGTGCAGCAGCATTAAAAGCGGCACTCCAAAACTTGTAAAAAAAGGTGGAAAAGAGTGCCGCTTCAATTTCCCAAAACCGGTGTCTGCTAGAACTTTCATTTCCAGGGCGTATAAGGAGGTTGAGATGGAGTGCATGTGTTAGCGCAACGTCCATAACGAGATAGAACAGTGCACTTGTGGCAAGGAAGAAAATGAGAAGAAGCACAGGCAGGAAGGGCAATTCGCTGTTAAGGTTTTTGAAACAATAGCTAAAGTGTTGTCAGACGAGAACTGCAGAATACAAACTGCAGAAGAGTTATTTGAGAGTGTAGGGATACAACAGGAGACATTTGAGGCAGCATACAGGAGGTTAGGGAAAAAGACAGAGGTAATTATGCGACGCCAGGTTTGTGATACGTGGATCAACCCACATTCCAAGACTCTGTTAAAAGCTTGGAATGCAAACATGGACATCCAGTATGTGACCGATGCTTATGCTTGTGTAGTCTACATCATTTCCTACATCTCTAAGGCAGAAAGACAAATGGGATTGATGTTGGCAAATGCACAGCGGGAAGCATCCAAGGAGGACAACCTCAGTGCCAAGCAGGCTTTGAAAAAGCTTGGCATCATTTACCTTCACAACCGAGATGTTGGAGCTCAGGAGGCAGTCTACAAACTCAGCAACATGCACTTGAAAGAGTGCTCTCGGAAGGTGGTTTTTGTACCAACAGGTGACAATGTTGTCAGGATCAGCAAGCCATTGACTGTGTTGAAACACATGGCTGACGTATCCACAGAAAAGATGTGGATGATCAATTTTGTTGACCGATATAAGAACAGACCCAGAGATAATGTATTTGAAGGAATGTGCCTTGTCCATTTTGCTGCTGAGTATCGTGTGCTCAGCAAAGGGGAAAAATAAAAAAAACGAATTCAACTTGATAATGGCTGCGGGTTTGTTTTGAGAGGAACCTGAACGCAGCCTGCTGTTGTAAGGTATGCAAGATTCTCTGAGACTAAAAGTCCAGTGTTATTTCACCAGAGCATTTTGCAGGTGTTCCTTCCGTATCGGACAGAAGAACAGCTGAAGCCTGAAGGATTTGTCACTTTCGAAGACCTCTACAAAACTGGTCGTATCATCATTGCTGATGGACAGCTACGTTCAGTGAAGTCAGTTGTGGACTCAAATCGCTGCAATTATGAGATAGATGCAGATGAGTTAGATGACATTTTTGATTCTGTGAATTTTGATGGTCCTGTAGAAGATGCATGGGGGCAGTTGTTCCCACAGCAAGAGACTGAACCGCTGGAGTCAATCCAGGAAAGGGCAGAGCAGGTAGAGGTAGACAAAGACCCAGTGGAACATAGTCACCTTAGCCTGCTCTACACTCCCAGCCAGATCAGGAATAAGTGCAACAATTTAAGTAGAAGTGAGGGATTGGCATTGTGCAGGTCTTTAAATGATGACCAGATGCGTGTGTTTAACAAGGTCCATCAATGGTGTGTTGATAAAGCAGCAGGTAGAAACCCAGACCCCTTTCATGTGTTTGTGACAGGTGGTGCTGGCGTTGGAAAATCACATTTAATCAAAGCGATTCAGTACGAGGCCACAAGGTTGTTGTCACCAATGTGTCGACAACCTGAGAATATAAGTATTTTGTTGACTGCATCGACAGGGATTGCTGCATATAATCTGCATGCAACCACCCTGCACAGTACATTTAGCATAGGCAAAGATGTTCGCCTTCCTTACGTGCCAATAGGGGAAGAGAAGTTAAACACATTGAGAATGAAATATTGTGATCTCCAAATCTTGATAATTGATGAAATTTCTATGGTGAATCATAATATGCTCACTTATGTGCACAGACGACTGCGCCAAATTAAACAGACAGGCACTCACACTGCATTTGGATATGTGAGCATCATTGCAGTAGGGGATTTTTATCAGTTGCCTCCGGTGAAAGGCAAACCATTATACATGGAACCACTTGGAGTTGATCTTTGGAGCACTCATTTTAAGGTTGTCAAGTTGACAAAAGTAATTCAGCAGATAGATGATGATTTTGCCGGACTACTGAATCAGGTCCGTACGCAGCCAAAAGACTCAGATGTTGCAAAGTGATATCGTCACTTTGAAACAACAAGAAACTGGCGAAGAGTGCTCAGGTTTGCATATATTTGCCACAAATAGTCAGGTAAATGAGCACAACTTTGAGCAGCTACAGAGAACATGTCCAGATTATCATGTCATACAGGCTCAGGATTATGTAAACAGCTCAAAAACAGGCAGGCTTGAATTGAAGAAAGGATATCATACACTTGCGTATAACACGTGTTTAGATGAAGAATTGTTGTTGGGTAGTGGTTCGCGTGTAATGTTGACGAAAAACTTTCGTTTGGCTGACGGCTTGGTTAATGGTGCATGTGGTACAGTAACAGATGTAGTTTGTGTTGAGAATGAAAAGTTTACTCAGTGTATTTTTGTGAAATTTGATGATGAAGTAGTTGGTGTTGAGAGGAGGAAACAGTCAGGAAGGGTTTCAGATCACCTTGTTGGTTCAACGGCTATCGCGCCAGAGGAAAAAAGAGTCACAAAGAAGGGAGGTGTGCACCGTCAATTTCCGCTTCGACTCGCTTGGGCCTGTACTGTACACAAAGTACAAGGCCTCACAGTTGACACAGCTGTAGTTAGTATGAAGAAGGTGTTTTCTGCTGGACAGGTTTATGTGGCTTTGAGTCGTGTCAGGACTCTAATGGGATTAGAGATTTCAATCCAAAGAAAATCTATTGTCGGCCAGAAATTGCACAGGCCACTTCAGAGATGACTCCTTTCCTGGAGCCTGTCACCTGGCTAGGCAAAGTGGAGGACACTTCGACAGTGTTCCTCATGAATGTTCAGGGTTTGAGACGCCATGTGTCTGACCTGGCTCAGCACACACAGTATTTGCAGCCAGAGTGCATTGCTGTGACTGAGACGTGGTTGCATCCAGGTTGTTCCTCAGAGACACTCCAGATAGCCAACTACTCTCTGCATAGTTGTCCACGAGCTCTGGCATATGATGGTCACACTTTGCCCTTTGCCTCTTTGCAGGCAAAAGAACATGGGAGAGTTGCAATGTATTGTGGTGGAATTATGCAGTTTGTAATCATCAAGGTGCCTTGTTTCAATGTGGAATGTTTGGTATACCACTGCATCAACCTCAACATTGTCCTCGCAGTCATATATCAGCCTTCAGCCTAAACCATGGCACTATTCAAACACAATGTTATCACACTACTCCAATGGCTGGAACAAATTGGCAGAAACATCATTATCATGGGAGATTTCAACGATGACATATTGAAGTCATCATCAATTTGCACATTTTTCAAAGACAGAGGTTATGATCAGCTGATCACCCAGCCTACTACAGAGCGAGGCACTTTGATTGATCATGTTTATGTGAGAGGGGGCATTTTCCACGCAAAATCTGAAGTAATGCCTTCATATTTTAGCGATCATGAAGGTATTTACTGCAGCTTTAAAGTTTGTGATTAATCATGTGCACAGCTGTTGTTGATGTTATTAATGCTTTTCATAGGAAAGTAGATTTGAGAGTGTTTTAGCAGGTTCCCAAACAGCTGGCAGATGGATCAGTTTACAACGCCTGGACAAGCCATGATGTCAAAGACGAGTGAACAATTCAAAACATCGCAAGTAATGATTTAAATGGACATTTATGGTGGTTGTATGCGCACATAACACGTGATATAACCTCTCCACTAAATTTACACTTGCAATTATTCTGACCATGACAACTTGACTACAACTAATGAAAATTTTTGCAATGTGCCGGGTTATTATTTCTCCAATATGATGACTTCTTAATTTGTAAGCATGTAACTGATGTGATCTCTCCTCTCCTCAATGTGTCAACAAATATACTGTACATCTTATGATTACTCCAGCTAAGGACTGACCAGCCCATTATGACTCCGCCTTCGGTGAGATGAGACCCTGAAGGATTGATGGAACTATAAAAAAATGTTTCGTTTGAATTTCAATTTATACTTAACAATTTTCATTCATACATTATACTATTTGTGTATCTCACAATGTGTCTGTCTCCTCAGTTCAGCCCATAACAACTCCAACAGTGTCTTAAAATGCACTTTTACTCCTTGGCTTTTGATATATTGTAGTGTTGTTTTGTTTTTTATCATTTTAGCACTTGTCGTGACCCTGCTTATTTATGTACTTATTTATTCTTTTGCATTAATGTATTTCTGCTCGCTTTATCTTGTTCTTTGATTGTTTTATTTGTTTTATGTGTCATTGTACAGCACTTTGGCTACCCTTGTGGTTCTTTTAAATGTGCTTTAGAAATAAAGTTGATCGATTGGAAGGATGCACAAAGCACTGGTGAGTCATTTCCCTATTGTAAAGACTTTTCATGATCTGAACATGTGATCAATGTGTCATGTTTTCTCCAAAACGTGCAACCACCTCTTTAACCAGCAATGATTACATCACAAGAAGGATCAGGCTGTGACAACTCTGCCAGTGAAGGGATGCATGCAACACAGGTATTATGTTTGTAATTACAATGAATTCTAACTGTGTGAATAGGTAACTAATGTGTCATGTCTTCTTCACAACATGTAGCCACACATTTATCCCATGACAACACCATCACAGGAGATATCAACCACTGTTAACTCCAGCCACAGACTGATGCATGTTAAGCAGATGTGTTATAACTATATGTTGATTAATTCTCATCGTGTGAACATGTAACTGTTAATTATGTCTTCTCGACAACCTGTGACCAACCACTCAGCCCCCCACTACTCCAAGAATCAGCCCATGATGCCTCCACCCAAAAAGAAATGCAGAACACACTGCACATGTACCATCAGTTGTTACTTTTTAATTATTTCTCAGCTTTTTTGTAAAAACAAGTACTTTTACATAATTAAATTTGATATCAATCATTTCTAATCATTTCTTTATATTGAAAATTATCCATTGTGCTTGTACTTGGATTTATTCATTTTACCGTTCAAACATCTGGAGTTATTGTACTGATCTTCACTGAGAAGTTTGTATTCCACTTTTAGACTGTCTATGTTGTACTGTATCTGATGTACATTTCATAATTTATTCTTTCTGTATTCAATTGCGATATTTTTTGTTAATAAACTTCTCTTGCCTGACCTCTTCATAGAATCAAGAACTCTTGTGTACTGTAGTTACAATTTGAGTAATTTTGGAATTTAAAAAAAACCTTTTATCTTGCCTGTTCATTGTGAGCAACTATGTTAATTATTAGAAGAAATAACAGTCTTTTTTGACAAAATTTCTTATTACAAAATTAGAATAATGGAAGCATAGTACAATGAAACCATTCAAATAATGTGAAGGTTAGTTCTTTTTATTTAGCCCTTTAATGCCTGAAACCATGGCCAGAAAATTCACATTTTTAAGAGCTGAAATATTTTTTTCACTTACTACTGAAAAACAAAATATCAAAATGTCCTTAAAATTAAAAAAATATATTTATCTCGTTTAATACATTAGATGTTTTTGGAAACTGATAAAGAGGACATTTTTACCATTTAACGGACTGTATTCAGGTGGGGTTTTTTTTGTAATTTGTTAATCATTTTGATTTGATAGAAGTACCATCAAAATTTGTATCAAATATGATACAAAACGCATCAAAGGGTTAAGTAGTTTTAGTTAGGGGTGGTAACTGGTCCCATGGCCCAATGTGTGGCTAGCTCTGTACACAACCGCCCCTCTTGTTACTTTTGGCCGGCACCTAGAGCCTTTTTTATTTCATCGCTTTATTTTTGAATCATCAATTTCTGCTCATTTAAATCCTGTTTTACATCGAGAGTCGCGGTCTGTCCTTTTTATATGTTACTGTTCTCTTTTACAAGCCTATTTTTTTTCTTGGTGGTGTACATTAATTATTTCAAGAGGCTGTGACAAGGGTTGCTGTTTGCGCTGCAGTGGCCTCTCTTTAAAACTGCCGCCATCTCCTCTCTTCGTGGCCCACCACCCAACTCCACTCCTCCAGTCAGCCGCTGATGCGTGCTTGGCCATTGTTTAATTAGGTTGTGCCACACCTGTAGCGAGGAAGCACAGAGAGAGAGAAAACAAGAGCTCTCTTCTACATGAAAGAAGCAAATAATTTAAATGAACCACAGTCATAACACCGAACTTTGGCCAACAGAGGGCTCACCATACCCTGGCCGACCTGCTTACCCAGGTACGTGACAACAGCCTAACTACAGTCACACTTGGCCAGATTCAAGAGTCAAAAGGGCAGCCATCAATCGGCTTAAAACTTCTTTCAGCGTTTCCACGTGCTCTGACCAAGAGGAGGAAAAACATACAATGTCATCAAGATAGGCTTCACAGTTCTTCACACCACAAAGGAGAGTGATCATCAACCTCTGGAGAAAATGATCTGGCGTGACAAAAGCAGAGACCTCAGATGTACATGGTGTTAAAGGAACCTGCCAGTACCCTTTCAGGAGCTCTAACTTTGCATGGATACAGTAGGTTCAGCCAAATATGTCTCAGTCATCTGTATGTGGAGGAGAGAAGGAATCAAGTTTTGTCACAGTGTTAACCTTACGAAAGTCCATACAAAATTGGGGAGTTTGGTCTGATTTTGGGACAAGGAGACAGGGAGAACTCCACAGACTGGAGCTGGGCACAACTAAACCATTTTCAATAAGATACTTCACCACCCTCTGCATGGCAGCATGCTTCGCGGGACTAACCCTGTAAGTATGTTGCTTAATAGGCTTGTGATCGCCCACAACATCAAGCTGCAGGCAGCACTGTTGTCTGTGTGGGCTTATCATTAAAGAGTGCAGCATAGTAACAAATCAAATCACGAATATCTCTTAATGGGCTCAGACAAATACCCATCAAGATTACCCAGAACCTTTGAGTTTTCCAAGCACGCACACGGAACAGTAATGTTGAAACTGGTAAAAGGGAGCTGAGAAACTGGCCCAATATAATTCAAGTGCTGCACAAAAATCTAGGAAATCTGACTAATTTGAGGAGCGATTGATGAGCGGCTTGACAATTCTCACACAACTGGACCATGCACATTAAAGGAAATAGACAGTACATGTGTGCAGTAATTGAGTCACTGTGCTTTACAGCATGTCAAATGATCAGACAAAGGCAACACAGAAAAGACAAGCAATCAACAAACAGAGGAGGGTTTGACAGACATCATGGTAAGTATGAGAAGAGGCCAAATAAGTGATGAGGTGAAGCTAGGAGAGCACTCTGCTTTAATGATTGATGAAACATAAGACAAAGTAAAAAAGGGCTTACAGTGCATCCGGAAAGTTTTCATACCACTTCCCTTTTTTCCAAATTTTGTTAGGTTACAGCCTTATTCCAAAATTCTACACAAAATAACTCATAATAACAAAGCGAAAAAACTTTTTTTTAGAACATTTTGCAAATTTATTAAAAATAAGACACTCAAATGTTGCATATATAAGTATTCACACCCTTTGCTATAAAACTCAAAATTGAGCTCAGGTGCATCCTGTTTCCACTGGTCAGCCTTGAAATGTTTCTCCAACTTGATTGCAGTCCACCATTGGCAAATTCAGCTGATTGGACATGATTTGGAAAGCCACACCTGTCTATATAAGATCCCACAGCTGACAGAGCACGTCAGAGCACAAACCAAGCCATGAAGTCGAAAGAATATTCTGTAGAGGTCCGAAACAGGGTTGTATCGGCGCACAGATCTGGAGAAGTTTACAGAAACATATCTGCTACATGTAAGATCCCAAGCACAGTGGTCTCCATCATTAAGAAATGGAAGACGTTTGGAACCACCAGGACTCTTCCTAGAGCTGGCCACCCAGCCAAAATGAGCAAGCGGGGGAGAAGGGCCTTGGTCAGGGAGGTGACCAAGAACCCGATGGCCACTCTGACAGAGCTCCAGCGTTCCACTGAGGAGATGGGAGAACCCTACAGAAGGACCACCATCTCTGCAGCATTCCACCAGTCAGTCATTTATGGCAGAGTGGCCAGACAGAAGCTACTCCTCAGTAAAAAGCACATGACCGCCCACTTAGACTTTGCTAGAAGGCACCTGAAGGACTCACAGACCAGGAGAAACAAAATTCTCTGGTCTGATGAAACGAAGATCGAAATCTTTGGCCTGAAAGCCAAGTGTCATTTCTGGAGGAAACCAGGCACCGCTCACCACCTTGCCAATTCCATCCCTACAGTGAAGCATGGTGGTGGTAGCATCATGCTGTGGGGATGTTTTTCAGCGGTAGGAACTGGGAGACTTGTCAGGATCTGGGGGGCGATGCTTCATCTTCCAGCATGACACACGGCCAAGAAGACAAAGGAGTGGCTTCAGGACAAGTCTCTGAATGTCCTTGAGTGGCCCAGCCAGAGCCCAGACTTGAACCCAATTGAACATCTTTGGAAAGACCTGAAAGTAGCTGTGCACCGACGCTGCCCATCCAACCTCACTAAGCTTGAGAGGATGTGCAAGGAAGAATGGGGAAAAACTCCCCAAATCCAGGTGTGCCATGCTTGTTGCATCATATCCAAGAAGACTGGAGGCTGTAATCGCTGCCAAAGGTGCTTCGACCAAGTATTGAGTAAAGGGTGTGAATACTTATGTATATGCAACATTTGAGTGTCTTATTTTTAATAAATTTGCAAAATGTTCTAAAAAAAAGTTTTTGACAGAACTGGTGTAACTGAGCCAAGTTTGTAGGCCGCCTTGCTTGCACATGACTCATCAGTTCTGCCCATAAATTTTCAATAGGATTGAGATCAGGGCTTTGTGATGGCCACCTCAAAACGTTGACTTTGTTATCCTTCAGCCACTTTGTAACCAGTTTGGCAGTGTGCTTAGGATCACTATCCATCTGGAATACCCATTTGCGCCCAAGCTTTAACTTCCTGGCTGATGTCTTGAGATGTTGCTTCAGTATTTCCACATAATGTTCTTTCCTCATGATGCCATCGATTTTGTGAAGAACACCAGTCCCTCCTGCTGCTAAACAACCCCACAGCATGCTGCCACCTCCATATTTCACAGTTGGGATGGTGTTTTCAGGATTGCAAGCTTTGCCTTTTTTCCTCTAAATGTAACAATGGTCATTATTGTGACCCTTTCCCTTTCAGTTTCATCAGACCACAGGACATGACTTCAAAATTTAAGGTCTTTGTGCATTTGCAAACTGTTATCTGGCTTTTTATTTTTCTTTTGGAGTCATGGCTTCTTCCTGGAAGAGTAGCCTTTCAGCCTATGTCAGTACAGGACTTGTTTCACTGTTGATAATGACACACTCTTACCAGCTTCCGCCAGCATCTTCACAATTTCAAGTTCATGTTCAAATTTCTTTCAACTTTAAACAAGGGCTTTTGCTGTTGTTCTTGGATTGATATTCACATTTTGGACCAAGGCACATTCATCTCTGGGACACAGAACCCATCTCCTCCCTGAGCTGTATGTCTGGACATTCCCATGGTGTTTATACTTTGGTGCAATTTCCAGATGCCTGAAGGTGTCACTTTCATCCTTTCAAACAATTGTACCCAAGGATGAACCAGACTTGTGTAGGTCCACAATTCTTTTCCTGATATCTTGGCAGATTTCTTTTGAATTTTCCCATAATGTTACACAAAGAAGCAGTGTGTTTCAGGTGTGCCCGAAAGTACATCCACAGGTGTGCCTCTAATTAACTCAATTGCTTTCAATAAACCTATCAGAGGCTTCTAAAGACATGATATCATCATCTGGAATTTCCCAAATTGTTTAAAGGCATAGTCATCTTAGTGTATGTAAACTTTTGACCCTCGAGAAAGTCATAAAAAAATTGTCTAAAAGTTTCTCTCTCTCATTATTGGCATTTTAGCAATTAAAAATAATTTTGGTAATCCTAACAGACCATAAAACAGTCCCTGAAAGTTTTGCAGAAGTTCAGATGCTCTACAACATTTTTTTCCAGGTCAGTAGTTTTTAAACAGTTGGTAGAGAAGCAGCAGGAACTCAATTTCACCAAACAGGTGGTTAAACTAAAGAGATTGTTATCAACTCGAGCAGATGTGAGCAGCTACTCCAATGCTCACCGCAGAACAATCACTGATTGAACTGATTGTTGGGCAATTTGTTTCTTCAGGCAACATATTTGGAGCTTCCATCTACCACTGGTCTTGTTGACCCCCTAAATGAGAAACTTAACACTGGAAGGTATCTGCAGTGTGCCATTGACCATTGCGCTCAGCCATATTTCCTAGTTTTTGTGCAGCACTTATGCAGTGGTCACTGCAACTGGTGAGAAGAAAAGCACAACCTTGCCACCTGCGGGAGTTTGTGGTGAGCAGCCAAACAGGTTCCTGTGAGTGTTTAGAAACTCCAGCTGAAAACTGTAACCAAAGATTTTCCCAGTTCAACAGATTGGTTCATAAGTGAAATGGAAGCTTTTCCCCTGAGACCACTCTCAGAGGGTCAACAGCCCTCAACCCAAAACACAACATGGTAATGGACAAAGGCAGACTTTTAATAATAGAAAAACACAATATGAAGGAAAATTTTTTGCTAAACTTTACTAAGTAAAACAATTGATTGAAGGGAAAAAACTTTTTGGGAATACTGTGGACACCACCTGTGATGTGCTGGTCCTGTTAAGACAATACAAAGATGCTTTTATGGATTTATATACTGTAAAATTGTTTGCATCTCCATGACAATTCCCATTACATCAGCTGCATGTGAGAGGAGCTTTTTCTGCTTACACTGACCTATCTGAGGAACAAAAGCGGAGATACCCAGACCAGCAGTCATGGTTTACTCCGCATCAGTGTCTTAAGAACACAAGATTTTGATATTGATGCAGTCACCAATAGCTTTACAGTCAGTTACAACCAGTTGATAGTTCTCCTGTGACTGCACTGGTGTTGAGTAGCCTAATTGCCTCTATTGCTATAACTGATATTGTCAATTTTTAAAACTTTCAGTTGGCTTAGCGAGCAGCATTAATTTTAAAAAAGATTTGTGAGCCAAAGGAAGATACCTGTTTCCATGGTGACAGACTACTATTATGCTTATGGCTGCTTAAGTTACGGTATTGATTAAATCCACAAATGTTTCCATGGTGATGATCTTTGGTGATATGCATTCTGTTTCGTCATAATACTCAAATGTCTCTATGTGTTATGTTCTTATTTATAGGGCTCTATTTTTAAGTGTTTTAGCATTTATCTATTCTAGTTTAAATCACAGGATCATCTTTTATTGAGCTATTTTGGTGCTCTTATTTTAGTATCTTCTACTGTTGTTTTTATTTCATTTTATTTATTATTTCTTAAATTTCATTTTATGTGTCTTTGTTTTTAGATTTTAACATTAACCTCCAGTGTTTCCTTATCTTGAGTTTTAAAATGACGTTTACCTCTGCGCACGTTCTTGTTTCAACGAAATCAAGCCCTCTTTAAGTTCATGCATTTTCATACTGTTTCTGTTGCAATTAGATTGTGGGGTGGGAATGAGCGGTTAGGCTGGGGTTGATCTGGGTATTCTTTGTTTCTTTTATTCCTTTTTCTGTGTGAAGCACTTTGTGCTGCATGCTATGTATGAAAAGTGCTATATATATAAAGACTGATTGATTGATTTTCATGCCTCCCCGGCAGCGTGGCGTAAGTCAAGTCCGCCGCGCCAATGAGGCTTGCCCAAACACACTTTGGTATATTAGTGAGCGGCGCAGCCCGGCGTAATTATACCCCCTCCCAGCAATGCCACACGATGGCAACAGGAGGCAGCACTGTGGAGGGCGTCCTCCACACTGTCTCAAATAAGCACAGAGGGATTTGGTGTGTGTAAGGTTGTACCCACTGGTAAGACATACACCCTTTTCTACAAATAAAGACAATCACATCAAGTTGCATATATTCAAAACCCATGTGACAAAGGTGGGTTGTGCGCACAGATCACAACACAAACAAATTCTTATAATGGCATTAAAATCAGAACCACCTGTACGTAAAGGATGAATTGCGCTCTGTGGCCTGGCTCTTTCTTTCATTGATGTTGGCATACAAAATGAACTTAATGCAACTGAATATTACAATACCGGTATGTGGGCCTAACTCCGGATTGAATATTCACACAATATTTAGAATGTGAGAACATCAGATAAACAGGTAATTTTGAATGAAAGTGTCTTTAATTATTCTTTTTTTTTGTTCAAATTTTCGCAGTAAACAACTCATCTGATCACTAAAATATATCATTTGGTCAGCCTTGCCGCCGCAACAGCAGCAGTACGGGAAGAGGACACGGAGATGTGTCTGTGTCAAACTGCGCAATGAAGAAGAGGGACAGTAAATACAGAATATTTAATTTAATGTTAATTCAGTCAAGTTGAGTATCCAAACACGTGCCAATTGCGCTCATTAGATAAGTTATGGATCAGAATATATTGATAAACATCTAAATGTCTGTGCTGACTCTGATAGTTGCACTGAATATTGGTTGTTGTTGATTATTTATTGCACTGAAGTTGTGGAAACCTGCTGGTGAGGCATTGGTGACGTATGCACACTACGCTGCCAGTTTACTAAAATACCACTAGACCAGCTGCACTCCACCTGCGCTAAAAGCTGACCAGGTTTGAATCGGCGAGCTTTCAGCGCACTTTCCATACCGCCAGTGAGCACGAAAATGTCATTGCGTCAGCTGATTCTGTTGACACCTCCATCTACTGCGCCACGTCGCCCAGCTTGGCAGACCTCAGAGTGCCTCAGTCTACAAAAATACCAAACCAGCTGTGCACCAGGCTCCAAAAGTACCTCTGTGTGGGGTGTGCCACCCTCTGCCCCACTGCCGCTAGGCATGAAAATAGAGCCCATCGAGTAAATATTTAGTAACTAGTCCCTATTCTAAAAGATGTGGCCCCACTCCCCCCAACTCTTGTTTATTTTTTCTTGGTGCTGCTGTTGGTTACATCTACTTAGTTCATTTGACCAGTTTTTAGTGTGCTTTCACCTAATTTGTACAAGTTAAGACTGCTACTTTCCTTTACAGATTAACTCTCTAAGGCCATGTGCACATGTAGCCAGGTACCTGCTAAAACAAAGACACTTTTGTACGATTTAGCCTGTCATCCACACGAAGCCACATGAAACATTATTTTAAAAGGTGCTTTTGGAAAGCTCCTGTCAAAGTGAAGATTTTAGGAAACTCTGGTTTTGCATTTGCATGTGGTCATAGAGTTATAAATTCCCAAATGTCAGTGTCTTTGACAACTAATATATAAATGTCATATACTGTGTTCCCTTGTTAGCGTCAGGCAGTGGATGGCACAGATATAAACAAAATATATATTTTTGTGAGGATCAAAGGAGGAGTGCTTTGTAGTCGTTTTTTTCTGCATCAAATAACCCTACCTCCACCTTTCTTGTGTCTTGATAACTTTATAATCTAAAATGATGCTTAAAAGCTATTACACCTCTTTGTCGGTCCACATGAACAAACTACACAGTGCTATGTGTCATGTTTGGAGAAGTGACAACAAGAAAGGGAAGCTTGCTCTGATTGGATCTAACTTGGGTCTAACTTTGTCGCAAATCCAACCAACTCCAGGTCTGGCATGCTTATAACCATGGTCAGTAGCACATTTACGCGGTGTTGTGGGGATGGGATTTTATTTTAAAACGATGATGTTTGTATGTGATTTTTTTTTTTTTTCTTAAGACAGAGGGGGTTGGATATTCATTCATAAAAATACCCGGCTACATGTGTACATGGCCTTAAATTCAAAGCAAAATAATACATTTGAGACTACCATCAACATCTGTTGATGGTAGTCTAAAATTGTTGTGTACAGGGACATTAGACATATGGATGACTTCAAAACATAGAATGCAGAGGAACAAAATAATTTCTTATACATAGATACTAAACAATAAATGATCAATTTAGTCAATGCTGTAAGTGAGGAAAAAGTGCTTGAGCCAGCCACGCCTGATTAGATGCTGGAACCCTAGTTTCAGCACTTTTTCCCTTTTTACCTGTTCTCATTTCCTGCAAGCATTTTCTATAATTTAATGAGAATGATTATAAAAAATTAAAATTAAAAGTAAAAAAATGGTACTACCAAAGGAAATCACAATGAGCCTCACATAAACTGTATTGATAGGTTATTGTTTCGGAGCTTTGGAAGGTGTTATATTTGTAGGAGAGCTCTCCCTCACTATCTCTGCACTGCCTGTTATTTTTTGTCATTTTGTTGAATCATGCAAAGGCAGCCAGATGAATCTTGGATTTGAACAATGTCCGCAGAGCATGTGGAAGGGAGTATAGTGATGTGAAAAGTGGTAGCTGACCTTGAAGAAATTTCAAATTTGTGCCAGCAGTTGGGGCTGAATTATGGCTCAACAGTTTTTTTCTCAAAGCCCAGAAGATTACATTATATAAAGTGGTTGAGCAAGCATGACAAGATTATTCAGTAAAAGTGTTACCAGAAATACAATTCCAATTTCCAACTTTCATTTCTTCTCATTTAAAATCCCCATTTTTTTCCTAATATTGAAAATTTACGGAAAATAAAGACTGAAATCACCTGTTCCTTATACTTTACCCTTTTTAACTGTGCTAAACACATGGATACACATGTTATCTTTACTTTGATCCTTTTTTTTTTTACTGTGCTTAACAGAAAGAGACACAGGCAAAAAGTCCCTTTGATGGGTTTAATATTGATGTCTAAACCTTCCAACAAGATTTCAAGAAAATTTATCTGAGTACACTCTGGAACAATTGATGTGTTACTTTTTTATTTTACTTCTGTCTTACTCAGAATATATGTTATTAAAAATGCTTAGAGTGAAGCTCTATTACCATAGCAGTGCAAACCTGAAAGCAGAGAGTATGGAAGAGTAGGAGTCATCACCATGGAAACAAGCATTACGCTGAAAAAAGAGGCCTTCACAAGGTGTAACATAAGTACACTCTGCACATGAATAGAAGGATACTCTAATTGATTGTTTTATAGTGATGACAGAGGTGCAGAGAAATACTCGGTTCAGTTTTCCAAAGTCATTTATGCAGTATATTTTCCTCCATGGCTATAGAGGAAAAGTTGAATTCACAAATCAAATACTGCTGCAAAACCAGAAAGGAGGACCCATCTGTACAATACACCTATAACCTGGAGTGTGTCTAAAGCAAACTTAACCCACACTATTGACTGTATGCAGTATGGACAACGTGGCTCCACCTTCCATTAGGGTTGAACAAATTTGAAGCCAAATTGCTCTCAGTGTTCCCGGGATTTTACTGAAACCAGCATCTATGTGGTAGTTTTTGGCGGAAAATGCTGTGATAAATTTCTGCTCAAACAGCGTATCTCCCGGGTGATCTACGCAATCTTCGTCCGCCCATAGGCTGTACTGAGGTGTCAATCATGGAAAACATAAACCCCTGTCAACCCCATGTCAACATTGCAACAAAGGAGGGAGAAAAATTTGTAGTCTGTGTTTGTGTTTGTCCACAACTCCATTCATTTGCTGGAGGAGGCGGGATTTATGACTTATGTTGCAGCATGTCAACAGAGGGTGCTGTTTTCGTGGAGGCTTCATCCAACGAGGAGGCAGATTGTGTCTATGCTATATACAGTCTATGGCCCACAAGGAAATGTCTATATCAGATTCTAAAACTAGAAGTATGTGAATTACTTCTCATTCTAGTTTTTTTGCTGGGGGCTTTCACCTTAACTTCAAGTTAAATTTTATTGTAACAGCGAAAGGTATGACAGCTTGCCTTCAATCCCCACATTAACCTCTTAAAAAGCTTATAGTGCCCTATTAGCCCACATTATGCTCACAGTAATTTATGGTTGTACATTCCGTCTGTAAATGTATTATGGGAGGTAGAGGCTCCGGTTTTTAGCCTTCCCATAGCAGACACTCTTTACTTTGAAAAGTGGGCTTATAACTTTGTTTTTTGATTAAACCTGTTTGTGACTAGACACAGTACTATAAAAGGAACGTAAGGACCCTTGGGGCCGGGAAAAATGAACACTTGGTCCGGGGGAAGGCCCCCTTTCTTCAAATGAATTGACATAAAAAAAACTTTTTTTTACAGGTTCAACAAAAGCAGGAGACACATTTTAGTCACAGATTGGATGGTTTAGGATGATTAAGATTCTCAATTGAAGACCCTATAAGAAAGAGGTAATAAAATTAAGTAGTTTTATTTCCACAGGTTTATACGAAAACTAAAATCTATCAACTCCTACGGTTGAAAAAGACTATCAAGCAGATTTACAGTGTAATAAAATGCAATGCCTGGACAGGGTCCTTACTGTGGGGAGATTCTATGGCAAACCCCATCAGACACCACAAAGTGAGCACACTGCGAACTCCAACACTGCAAATGTTTACTGCGAAGAAAAGTCAGTCTAAAAGGCATTCTTGTGACCACCACCAGACCAACCACACAGCATGCAAAAAGATGGACCCCATGTGAATTCCCCACTGCTCGTGCCTCTGTGAAGGAATACAACAACACTGTGAATTAAGGTTTGTTCAGTTTAACAGATGATAATCCTTTCATTGTGTACAGGAAGACAACTTTTCAAAAACCGGTATGGGTGATAAATATCCAGGGTCAGTAAACTATATTAAACAAGTTACAACAATGACATTAATGACCTACATAACATAATGTCATGTGTCATTCAGCATCTTCCTAAGAAACAAAGGATATCATTATTGATAAGCCATCATCAGTGATAATGAAGCCATAAAGCCCTTGCATTTAGCCTACCTTCTCAATACACACACTCAAAGGACCTATCCAAGCCATTAGGTGTAGCACCCATACCTTTCTAAGCCCAACAAGGCAGATCTCTGTCCAAAATGAGTCCAGTTCTGTTTGAGGTTTCTGCCTGTTAAAAGTAAGTTCTTCCTTGCCACTGTAAATTGCTAAATTATCACAGTTTTTAGAAAGCTTAACATGAAGCAAACCATGAAGAGCACCTTGTCCAGATAAAAACACTTGTTTTCCACAGCCCAGACCATCTCTGTGGTGCAAGTGTGTTTGCATGAGCTCGGGTTTAGCCTCAAACTGCCCTAAAATGATTCCTTTTTAATAAAATAATGACAATAAGTAAAATTAATAACAGACTTCAAGTAAATGTGTATGATTTTAAAATTAACTAAAGGTTGTAATGCTTGCTCAAAGTTTAAACCAAGTTTATTTTAAACCTGCACTTCATAATGCGCCACACAGACTGAGAGTTAGTGATAACTGAAGTGCAAAATGTGACAATGAAGACCACAAACTATTGGTCAGATGAAGTGGTTGATGAATGAAGACTGAAAAAGAATTCGTCTCCAAAGCTTTAACACTCACTGTCCTCAGTTCACAAAAGCTTACTGAGTGAAAGGTGATGTAACACAGAGAGAAACATGACCTTAAACCAGGGGTCGGCAACCTTAAACACTCAAAGAGCCACTTGGACCAGTTTCCCACAGAAAAGAAAACACAGGGAGCCACAAAACCTCTTTGACATCTAAAATGAAGATAACATTGCATATATCTTTTTTTTCACCTTTATACAAAGTATATTAAAAACTGTAGCGAGTTGCATTTATGAAATAAATGAACTATTTTGGCGAGTGTCTGTCTTCTTCTGTAGTTAAACCGCAAGATATCAAAATCTACCCGGATACAGCAATGCTGCTTTTTGATTGGCTGTTCAGTAGATATACTTTATTTGATTGGCTTGTGCGTGGCACGCAGCTTCTGAACTCTCGGAGGAACTCAGTTGATTTCCCCCAGTTCCATAGTTGAAGAAGTGCAACTTGGTGGACATCACCGTGTTCATTTAAATGCGTGAGAAATACAATGTGTGGTGTGTGAGCGTGTGAACGAGTGGGAATGCGTGTGTCATACGCTGAATGCGTGAGACTTGAGAGCCCTGTGCTCACGCATCATCGATGTACTCCCAAGCCATGCAAAACGGTCTTTGCAAATGTTGCACTGAACGCCTTCCTTTTCAGTCTTCGTGAAGTTTTCCCACACCACTGATGTTTTAGGTCGGGATTTGGGTTGGGTTGTGTCCATGTTTTTCTCAGCCGCTGCCTCGGCCATGGCTGTTTCTTTTCTGTGCGTCCTGCTGATGTTTACACGCCGGTGTCCATGGACATATATAAAGACCCGACGAATCGATTACAGAATTTGTTGGCAATGGATTTTTTTGTCACGACGAATCTACTTAATCGATTTGTTGTTGCAGCCTTAATAGTTTATTTAATGTTACAAGAGCATTATAATCTTTGAATTTAGAATTACAAAAAATAATAATTATAATAAAATAAAATAAAATGCAATTAAGTATTTATTATTTATTTTCCAAATCCATTGGGAGCCGCAGCTTAGGGAAGAAAGAGCCGCATTCGGCTCCAGAGCCGCGGGTTGCCGACCCCTGCCCTAAACCAACTTTTTAGGAATGAATAACAGGGTTAAATTCATAATTAGTAAATATTTACAAAAAAAATACAATAAATCAAGTTCAGTAGTTTGAATATTAAAGGTGATGTAGGCAGGATGTGAGTAATATCAGTTTGGGGAGGAATTTTGGAATGTAAACACTACCCTTCCCCTCCTTGAAGACTCCAAAATCAGGCAACTGGACTGTGTAGAGTTGAGAAGACATTTCGCCTCTTATCAAAGAAGCTTCTTCAGTTCTAAATATTGCTAGTGTGAGGAGCAGATATTTATCCTACTGGAGAAGGGGACAGACAGAGCTGGAAAGAATGGGTCGTAGAAACCCCCCCCCCCCCCCCATTAACCTGAAGGGGTCGTTAACGACCCCTGTCATGTGACCACATGACTCATGCCACCTGGGTCATGTGGTCCCAGGTGTGAATGTTTGTGGAGCTTCCCGAGAAGAGAGCAGAGAACTGCATTGTAAGTGCTGGAGAGATTGTGCCTGAGTCGACCCCCTCTGTTCAGAGAAGGTTTCTCCAGTCTGGTTAAGATGGCTTCTTTAACTCCTCTTTCAAACCATCTGTCTTCTTTGGCCAACACTTGTACATTGCTGTCCTCGAAAGAGTGACCCGTGTCCTTTAAGTGAAGGTGGACAGCTGAGTCCTGACCTGAGTAAGTAGTTCTCCTGTGTTGAGCCATGCGCTTGTGAAGCGGTTGTTTAGTTTCCCCAATGTACAGGTCCAAGCATTCCTCGCTGCACTGGACAGCATACACCACATTACTCTGTTTATGTCTCGGTGTTTTGTCCTTGGGATGGAGGGAATCAAAAAAGTTAATATTGATCCGTGTGTGTGGTTTAAAATAAATGCATGGTCAGGTTGGAAGGAGGTGAAAATAAATCACACCAAGGAGACACTGGCATCCCGACTTCCAATGTTATTACTGATGCATTATCCTGCTTCAATTTTCAGGTCTTCAGGAGGCTCTGCTCAGACACCAGTCCCTCCCCAGTAGCAGGAGGGACTGGTCAAGGGAAATCCTGGGAAATCGATCCAGATTTCCCTGGTCTGTTTTCCAACCTGACTATTAAACTACTGTTTAAAGGAATAGCTAAAGTTTCTCCTTCCACTGATGACAAGAGACTTCCGATTACCCTTCCTGTATTGCACAAAATGCTCTCAGTACTGAGAAGCTACTATTTTTCAGCCTACATCGACTCTCTCGGACTGTTCTTTTTTTCTAGCATTCTATGGGTTTTTAAGAAGCGGGGAATTAACCACACCGTCCAATTTATTCTTTCCAGCTAAACACGTGACCTTCTTAGATCTGACTTTTCTTCCGGATTTTTTTCAGTCTCTTCCTAAAAAACTCAAAACCAGCTGGAGCATGCATCATAATACTTGCCCGCATCAGCTCAGGGGTCCGTTTCACGTAGGTGGTTCAACAAACTCTGAGTTAAATCCTTAACTCTGAGTTGATCTACTCTGAGATAAGAAACTCTGAGTTTCCGGTTTCACAACACCTGATTTGAGACGGTTTTAACAACTCCGAGTAGTTTGACCTGGAGTTAAGCACGTGCACGCCAGACATGAACAGCCAGCATCTGTGGAGCGCAGATTCAATGATCAACCAATGGAAACAGGGAGAAGGAGGGGGCAGCAGCAAGCCAACAGCGAATTACAGCACGTTTTTAAAAGAAAGTGCAATACAGCAGCAGCTGCAAAGGAGAGGGAGAGGGCTTGTGAGGAAATCGCTGCTCGCGTCAATGCGTAACTTTAAATCTAGTCTCGTGCAATCACAATGACAGACTGTTGCAGGGAAACTGCTTGAATCATTTTGATCATGTTTTACATTGTCAAGTAAGTATTAAGTGGCAGTTTGATCCCTTAGAAAATGCTCTTTTCACACTCAAAAATGAATTTTACTCTCTTATGATGTTCCGTTAAATGATTAGGAATATTAAACTAACTCTCAGTATGTATATGTACATATATTAAACTAACACACACTACACTCAATATTAGACTTTCACTCAGCAAACAGAAAGAGGGCAGATGCCAGAAAAACGGGTGGTGGTCCAGCAGCCCCACCTTTAACGGAGGCAAAGGAGCTGCCCCCCCCCTTCGACGATCGCAACTCCCACCCCGTAGCAGCGATCGTCGGACTAGTGTGCGTGTGCGTGTGTCTGTGTGTGTGTGTGTGTGTGGGGGGGGGATTTGCGATCGGACCGGCCTCGATCGTCGAACGGGGGGGGGGAGGTGGGGGGCAGCTCCTCTGCCTCCGTTAAAGGTGGGGCTGCTGGACCACCACCCGTTTTTGTGTTAGTTTAATATTCCTAATCATTTAACGGAACATAATAAGAGAGTAAAATTCAGTTTTGAGTGTGAAAAGAGCATTTTTTAAGGGATCAAACTGCCACTCAATACTTACTTGACAATGTAAAACATGATCAAAATGAGAAAATGCCGATGTCTCAGCTGAAACTCTGGGTTTACTGAGTTAAACCTGCCCCCGAGCAGGTTAGGTTCACGGAGTCTGTTACTGTGGTAACTGACCGCGAGGTTGAGTTACCTCTCTTTGTGAAACAGGTTAGAGTTACCCCTCTCTCCCTGGTTTAACTAACCCTCCTTTGTGAAACGGAAAACTCAGAGTTTCCCTGATTTCAGGGTTAACAAACTCGGAGTTTCCACTAAACCTGCTACGTGAAACGGACCCCAGAACTCTGCCCTTATACGTAAGTTAATGTGCAAATACTTGAAAAACAGACCTCACTCCTACTTGCAGTCATCTCTCTTTTTGACTCCAGATAATAACCCAACGTCCAAATCATGGTTTAGCTCCCACCTTGATCAAACACTCTCAAGATGTAATATATCCCCAGAGCACTACTCAGGCCATTGATTCAGAATTGGCGCGGCAACCTCAGCAGCCATGCAAGGATTATCAACTGCCTCTCTGCAGCAACGAGGCCACTGGTCCTCTTCTTCCTACTCATCCTATGTGCGTCCAGATTCTGCTGCAATCATCCACGCTCAAAAATCTCTAAAGCCTTGACAGCACATGGTAAGCATATCCCCTGGTGGTCGGTGGTTGTGATTCACTTGTTTTCTGGCTCCTCTTGCTGCCAGTTTAACACTACTACTACTACTACTACTAATAATAATAATAATAATAATAATGATGATAATAATGATGATGATGATGATGATAATAATAATCTACTCACTAATAAATTAAAAGTAGAAAGTTGTTTAGTTTTACACCCTGGTACACTAGGCCAATTAGTTAAACCAAAACACCTTAAAAATTACAATACAGGCCAAAAGCTTGGAAGCAAGGCCATTACAGGCCAAACACTTGGGAGTAACCTCAAGTTTTTGTTCACAATGCTTTTTTAAAAATCCAGCATGAGTTATATGTATTTTGGGATTTATTTACTCCATGATCAGATGTTGCTTTCATGGAAATGCTCCATTTTACTCCATTTACTTTTAGATATACATTGATGTTAACAGACCATTGCTCAATATATGTCAGCAAAAGATAATAAGGGCTTAGTTTTAGGGTTGAAAACATTTGCAAGAGTCACAACTTCAGTGCAAAAGCAAAAAAACAAATCACAGTTGGATTACTCACTTCAACTTTTTGGCTTTTGAGAGTCTGCATACAAAAATCCTAATGAATCTCAACTGCGTTTAAACTACCGCAAAAATGGCTAGAAAGAAGCAACTGAGTAATGAAACAAAAGTACTGGGGTCCGTTTCACGTAGGTGGTTCAACAAACTCTGAGTTAAATCCTTAACTCTGAGTTGATCTACTCTGAGTTAGGAAACTCTGAGTTTCCGGTTTCACAACACCTGATTTGAGACGGTTTTAACAACTCCGAGTAGTTTGACCTGGAGTTAAGCACGTGCACGCCAGACATGAACAGCCAGCATCTGTGGAGCGCAGATTCAATGATCAACCAATGGAAACAGGGAGAAGGAGGGGGCAGCAGCAAGCCAACAGCGAATTACAGCACGTTTTTAAAAGAAAGTGCAATACAGCAGCAGCTGTAAAGGAGAGGGAGGGGGCATGGGAGGAAATCGCTGCTCGCGTCAATGCGTAACTTTAAATCTAGTCTCGTGCAATCACAATGACAGACTGTTGCAGGGAAACTGCTTGAATCATTTTGATCATGTTTTACATTGTCAAGTAAGTATTAAGTGGCAGTTTGATCCCTTAGAAAATGCTCTTTTCACACTCAAAAATGAATTTTACTCTCTTATGATGTTCCGTTAAATGATTAGGAATATTAAACTAACTCTCAGTATGTATATGTACATATATTAAACTAACACACACTACACTCAATATTAGACTTTCACTCAGCAAACAGAAAGAGGGCAGATGCCAGAAAAACGGGTGGTGGTCCAGCAGCCCCACCTTTAACGGAGGCAAGGAGCTGCCCCCCCCCTTCGACGATCGCAACTCCCACCCCGTAGCAGCGATCGTCGGACTAGTGTGCGTGTGCGTGTGTCTGTGTGTGTGTGTGTGTGTGTGTGTGTGGGGGGGGGGGGGGGGGGATTTGCGATCGGACCGGCCGCGATCGTCGAACGGGGGAGGTGGGGGGCAGCTCCTCTGCCTCCGTTAAAGGTGGGGCTGCTGGACCACCACCCGTTTTTGTGTTAGTTTAATATTCCTAATCATTTAACGGAACATAATAAGAGAGTAAAATTCAGTTTTGAGTGTGAAAAGAGCATTTTTTAAGGGATCAAACTGCCACTCAATACTTACTTGACAATGTAAAACATGATCAAAATGAGAAAATGCCGATGTCTCACCTGAAACTCTGGGTTTACTGAGTTAAACCTGCTCCCGAGCAGGTTAGGTTCACGGAGTCTGTTACTGTGGTAACTGACCGCGAGGTTGAGTTACCTCTCTTTGTGAAACAGGTTAGAGTTACCCCTCTCTCCCTGGTTTAACTAACCCTCCTTTGTGAAACGGAAAACTCAGAGTTTCCCTGATTTCAGGGTTAACAAACTCGGAGTTTCCACTAAACCTGCTACGTGAAACGGACCCCAGATTTGTACATTGAGGAAAGAAGGATACACAGAAAGAGAAATTGCAAAACACCTTAAGGTGTTTAACAAAGGAGTCCACTACACTCTGAAGATACTAGAGGAACTTGGATGCTATGAAAAAGAAAGAAGGATACACAGAAAGAGAAATTGCAAAATGCCTAAAGGTGTTTAACAAAGGAGTCCACTACACTCTGAAGATACTAGAGGAACTTAGACGTTATGAAAAAGAAAAAGACCTGGACGAAAGAGAGTTACTACAAAAGCAGAGGATAAACACAGCATCGTCACCAGTAAGAGAGATTGGCGAAAGACAGCACCACAAATAAGGGAGGAAATCAACATGACAAGGTCGAAACCCATATCCCTGACAACCGTGAAATGATGTTTGATGTCTGAAGGGTTGTGTATCTGCAAAAAAACACTGCTTCATCCACAGAACAAGAAAAAGAGATATGAGTGGGCGAAAGCTCACAAAAATTGGACTAATGATGACTAGAAACAAGTTTCTGCAGACAAACTGGTGAACGTCAGAAAGCACCATGTGTTACACCCACAATTCAGCATGGAGGTGGCAGAGCAGTGGATTAAAACAGAGTGGCGACACTCCCATAGACATACGCTGTACAGCCCGGCGGACCCCACTTCCGGGTTATGGAACTCTGAATAGTTCCAATATCACCGCCTGTCACGTCGGACGCCGTTCGCGTCTATGGCCACAAGGCAAGCACTCACCGAGGTTAAATGATAAAATATCAACAAGTTTAATGCCAATACATGTGTTATTGATATCGAGGGGACCCCTTTATATGTAAAAATGTATATCCCAAATGTAATTAAGTTTTTTTAGTCAGGAATTGGGATCGATTTTTTAGCCACGGTTTGCTCCCACACTCCCCGAGGTAAAATATTGTATCAACGAATGTAATGCCAATACGTGTGTAAATGGTATCGAGGGACCCCTTTATATGTACAATGAGTTTAATTCTAGTATGCTCAAATTGTAATTACAAATGTAATTACGTTTTTTTAGTAAGGAATTTGGATCGATTTTTTAGCCACGGCCTGCTAGCTGGACGTCGTCAGCTGTAGAGGCCTGCCAAAATTTATTGTGTGACTGAGTTATGAATCACAGATAAATCATCATCATCATTCATATGTTGAGACGGTTACTTGTGGGCTTTATTTCAGATTTCAGCCTTTATCAGTTCCCGATGTTATATGCAATTTATCCTTTTTAGACTAACATAAGTGCTATGTAATTTGATTTCTGCTTATGCGATTATAGAGTTTAGGGGCCGCTACTTTTGAAATCCTGTCAGCATTTAAGGCGTATGTTTAACATGGAAAAATGTTATGCATGCCATGCTGCAAGACCAATACATTGCACAATTGTTTAAACAGCTTGTAACACCTGTTACTTACCACTTTATTGTATTATTTTCTCTTATTAAAAAGTAACACGCGTTACCAAACTTGTCTTATTTCACTTTAATTCGTCATCCAGCTGCGAAATAAAAGTACGTGACTTTGACGTGTACACAGTAATCCAATAAGAGTTGCAAATGTTGACTTTTTACGATTAATTTTAATATTTACCTCTTAAATGCGCGCTCACTGCAGTCTGCCCCGTTGAAGAGCATGGACAGTGCAGGCTGCGTTTAGAACTATGGAGGGGTACATGAACCACGTGACCGCTCCGGCGGCGAGATCTGAAGTTGTCGCCACTCTGTTTAATCCACTGCTCTGGGAGGTGGTAATTCCATGGTATGGGGATGTTTTGCAGGTGATGGAGTAGGAGATTTGTTTGAAGTAAAGGGTATCATAAAGAAGGAACAGTACCACTCCATCCTCCAGCACCATGCTGTTCCATCTGGACTCAGTCTTGTGGCTCATAAGTTTGTTTTGCAGCAAGACAATAATCCTAAGCACTCTGCCAAACTCTGTCAGGGTTACCTAAAAAGAAGAGGAAGGTATTCTTCAAAAAATGGGTTGGCCCCCTAAGTCTCCAGACCTTTCTCCAATTGAGCTTGTGCGGGATGAATTGGACAGATCGATCAGAAAACGCGTCCCATGAATCAGCAGTCTCTTTTTAATGAACTCAAGAAAGCTTGGAATGCAATCTCTGGAACATACCTTAAAAAATTTTTGGAACGAATGCCTGGTATATGCCAAGCTGTTGTTGAAGCCAGAGGAGGTTACTTTAAAGAAAGCAAAGTCTAAGCAACAATAACTCAAAACCTAATAATTATAGTCAAAATGTCTTCTGATAAGTTACTCTTTACACAGTTGTCATGTTTATTGTGTTGCAAATTATATAAATGAAACTATGATCTTTTTTTGTACAAATCTGATCTTGCTTTCAAACTTTTGGCCTGTAGTGTATGTTCGATCAATTTAATGCTTTCTTTGCTTTCTCCCTAACCTGTTCTTATCTCAAGCAAAAGCTTAAGAAATCTTGAACAGATGGAATCATCTCCATGTTCCAATGCTCCGCAACCTAACGCAGGCCACCTCAAAGCCACCGAGCTTTGCATCATCACAATTGCAGCACACCTTATAGCCGCTGAGCTATGCATTATCGTAAACGCAGCACTCCTCATAGCCGCTGAGCCATGCATCATCGCAAACACAACACACCTTATAGGCGCCGAGCTATGCATCATCTCAATCTCACATAATCCTCAAAAGCTCTAAGTAAGTAGGTATGTACAATTTTAAAGGGTTTAAATGTGGTAATATATATTTTTCTCTTTCTGAGTATTTTAAAAGTGTCAGCCTGGTACCCGTTAGAGGTGAGGGTGAATTGCATGCTAACCCATTCATCCATTCAAGCAGGTGTCCATCCTCGTTCGTTTTATGGTGTTCCATCACTACTCCGGTAAGTAAGCACTTTTGGGGGGTGCTCTTTCAGCAGTGCATTATTTGAAGGCCTGAGCCTTCTTCTTTTGGGGGTATTTTCTGCCGCTGCACAGATCAAGCTTCCCACGATATTACAAATAAGCATAAGTTCAGTCAGGAAGACTATAACTGCCGTCACAGCTGTCAGTGTCTTTCCATGCCTACTACCCTCCCCGCTGTCAACCTATTCCCAAAGATATTACTCTGTCTAAAATATCTGTTCTACTTATTTGTGATTGATGAATGATGAACTTATGCAGAAACATTGAATTTTGAAAACATACTCTGAAGAGCCATTAGCCTTGGTCGATCTATGAACATGGGGGTTGTAGTCCAGGGCAGCCAATAGTTTTTCAACTACATCTCAGTCAATGAAAATGTAAACCAGTGCCAATGTAGATGCATGCTCACAAGCCACCTGCTAATACTTTGTTTGTGGTTCCACAGCATCTAAATTAACGCGACATCTTGTAAGTCACAAGTTAACTAAGAGAACAAACTTAAAAATTTACTTGTCCAATAGAAAGGTTGCAAAGTCCACATTGCCACACCCTGCTGTGTTTCTCATGTGGTTGTGAGTGTGCCCACTTACCTCCCTGCCACACCTCCTCATCAGCGCTGATCTCCCACACCTGTTAACATCAAGCTGCAGCTTGCAGTGTCCCACATCCAGTGCCAGATTGTCTTTGCAGCATGCACGACTCTCCAGCATTTTTTCTCGGATTGACCGCTAGGTTTTGACTCCTGCTTGCATCTGACTACGTCTTCTCATCTCTGCCCTTGGATCCCCTGTTAAGTTTCTCCACTCCTGTGAGTACTTCAGGTTTCGCTGTGTTGCCGGTTCCATGACCTACTGCCTCTCCACGACTATCTCTCTGTCTTTTCCCTCTGGGTTTAGTCTGCCCCGCTGACTGTCTGCCAGGTTTTGACATTGCCTTTGCTTCAACCTAGAGCCCAGCCTGCCCCTCAACGGTGCCTCCGCACTTCTCAAAGACTCTCGGGTGTAGTGTGTTTTTCCGGGAGCACTCACCTGTCAGCTTGTTGAATCTGTTTCCTGTGGATCTGTTCCCTGTTGATTTTGGAGTTTCTGCAAAGACTGCTAAATTTGAACTTTCTTAAATCTCAGCGGGTCCTCCACTGTTGATACCTACATCGATGTTTACCTAAGTCTTGTCCAGTCTACCTCCTTTTTTGAGTGCCTGTGTTTTTTTTTGACAAGTCTTTGGAATTTTGGTTGTTGTCTTTTGAGCATGGGCAGTTTTTAATTGCAGCTCGACTTAACTGCATGTAAGTGTACTGAATGCCATTTTGGGACATTTGACTTGGGGCTTCAAACCCCAACTCCTAACTCCTACTACTTTGACTTGGGGCTTCAAACCCCAACTCCTAACTCCTACTACCACTTACACAGTAAAAAAGGGGATCAGGGGCAATGGATTTATTCAGTGTTTGAGGTCTGTCACTGAAAATGAATTAGGATAAATTGATGGTATTACTCTTAAAGCTGCGCTACTGGGATTGTGTAAATTACTTTGCGATTGAGAAATAAGACGATGTCAGTCACTGGATAAAAGACTCTCTGACGATGAACTTTTGTTGGTTCTCTTTTCAAGCTACACAAACATGGCATTTGGAAAAAACGAACCCCTTAAGGTAAGAAAAGACATCCTCCTAGAAGCACATCCAGCCATAACATCACTACTACAGTCAGCCAGGGGCTGAATTATAGTGTGTTTTGATGAAAGCATGCATGTTGACAGGGATTTTTTAGTCTAATCTAGCATAAAGCAGGAGCCGAATTGTAAGGATGCCTAGCCCAGGTTCACATTAGAAAGAATCGAAGGTCCACACGAATGGTCATTTTGACAAGCTTTACTGATTACATATCTGGGTTACAGCTTCAGCAGGCCACAAGTGTGACCAACAGTGGTCCTCTACAAGTGTAACAAAGAGTGACCACCCCAAGTGTAGCAAAAAGCGGTCCACCCCCAAGTGTGGCCAACATGAGTGTAGCCAAGAGTGGTCCAAGACCATTCAAGTATATATAGCGATTCACAATCCTAAACATACTGTTGGTATTTAGTTGACCCTAAGAGAAAACCATGTATGGTAAAAACAAAGGACAACATATTTCAAAAGCCTTAGATGAACATGTGGAAGGTCCCAAGAAGGAAATATCATGGCAAACATATTTTGGGGACCTACATGGTGTAAATAATGTGTACAGGGTTCCTTGCTCAGGGATGGTTGTAGGAGGCCCCCGGCTCCAGCAATCTAACACCAAAGTGTCTGGGGTATTTGAGTGACACAGCTCCACCACTCTAAAGGCTGACATGACTGGCTAAAGAAACTCATCCTAACAGTCCTCACTTTTTTTTTTTTCTTTCTTTAAACATGCCAATTGTTTATAATAATTGCTGCTGGAACAGATGATAAATAACAAAAGAGTGGATTGATGAAACAAACATAAGAAGGGTCAGCCACCCAAACCAGCCCACAAAGGGCCGTCAGATTTGAGGCCACCCTCTACCCTAGATCAACAATTGAACCAGCTAAACCCTACAAAACCATGAACAAAAGCCGCGAAAACAGAACTTATCAATCCACCTGAAAGTAATCTAGGTGATAATTTTATATTGCAACTAAAGTAAAGCATGTTCTTTTAACTCAGTGGAGTGATGTATCTTGTGTCAGCTAATACGTGGTGGAGAATGATACTTTTACAATAGAATCTCTGAAGTGGTGACCGACACTGTGATCACATGGGGAACATCATATATGGTCAGGATATATGCCATCCCATCGTTGGAATCTCCTGATGACTCAGATGACTCAGAATCGGAGACCCACGGTTTCCATTTGAATGGGGAAGAGATAAGGGCATACGCTGTTTGGACTGGATCCTGCACAAAAGACGTATTGACAACATCACAAACAGATTATGATTAGTGTACAGAAAATGGAAGTTCTCTGGAATCCTTGAGAGATTTGGCTGCTAAGACTAAAAATCTAGTGTACATTTTAGCAGGCCTTATGACGAATTGGTAATTGTTAACATTTTTATCTGAGGTTTCTTCTCTTTCTTGGTCAAACCTAGCAGTTTTAGCAATCCATAAAGAGGCACATGCGTCTTCCTAGTCATAGTTCTTTTGACATGGGTCATTAGCCTTTGGATTGTTTGACTATTCTACCCCCCTTTTCTTCACATGTCCACCAAACGTTGAGCTGTCCTTCCAGTCCTATAGAGAAAAACAACTCACAGATAGAGATGTCGTTAGTCACAACTGTACAAATTGCATTCGTGACACTATGAATGTAAGCTAGGAGTAAATCGTACGCTAGCTAAGGGAGCGTAATCTGTTGCCCATCATATTTTTATAATACATCAGCAACCATGTTACACTTTTTTATCTGTTAGATGTTTACTTTAAAATCAGTGGCCCGGCTTTAAAGCAAAATTAAGTCATCAACGGAAAACGGCGGAACAGAAGGTTGTATGGATGGGAACTAGGAACCGATCAAGGAGGAAATGGTGCATCAAGTGCCGCTTTTTCTTTTGCAAATTGTCTGCTAATTTTCGTTGTCTCTGGTCACTTCTTTGTCAGATAGTAAATGTGTTGTTACATTTCACAATAGCGTGTAGGATACAACATCTTAATTTTGATTATCAACAAGTGCATAACCTGCCATTGTAGGGTCTACGCGCAGAACCATAAAATCATAGTTCTCCAGTGGAGTCTGTTGCATCTTTACTCTTACTCTAAATGTCGAATTGATTAAGTTCACGCAATCTAGTGACGGAATTTCAGCCATCTCTTTGTTACCATGCAGCAATGACTTCAAGTGTATCACTAGATAAATATAAGTGACTGTTGAAAAGGGAAGTCTTGGTGTTTCAGCTAACATGCGTTTTTAGGTTCATCACCTCAGACTGATATGCTGTGTGATTATGTTGCGGTGACCAACATTCACTGTGTGTATAGCATGCTGTATTAGTGGATATCGTAACACTGTAGTCTGTGCCTATTTAAACGTAATCGCCACAGCCATCATAGCTCGCAAACATGAAACTATCATTTGAACAAGTATCGTTGGGGATTTGGAATAATATACAACAGGTCTCAATCCTTAATCAAGCACCCTCGTCAGAACAGCAGTGGGACTCCTGTCATCCGCCATACGAAGGTGAAAGCCCAGGTTGTACTCCGGAAACTTTGATGTTGGAGCAGTGCAGAGAAAATACGATACAACGAAAGACGTGTTTCATGCCATTAGTCCAGTTCATAATGTCCAGTGCATCCTAGGGAGTTGACTCTTGGAGCATAGGATCATGGACGGCATAATTACCAGCCATGCTTGACTATAGTCCACCAGACGCAGAAGGGATACCTGTTCAGGTTTGTTCTTTTTTTTTTTTGTTTGTTTGTTTGTTTGTTTGTTTTTTAACATGGTCCTTCAGTGTCCTTTATGGCTGTCACACAATCAGGAGAGAGACATCTGCACCCAGCTCTCAAGATGTATCCAAGGTAGTCGACAGATTCTCAGCAGAATTGAAGCTCGGCAAGGAATGTCCTGTGACCTGTCTCGGCCAAATGTATCCGTGGGGCCAAGGAATCCAGTATGTAGTCTTTTCAGTCTCTGGGTAAAGAAGCAGGTCATCCGAATACTGGAGGATACAGGATTGACATGGTAAAGTAGGATGAGACAAGTGCAAATCGACAGCTAAATAACCTGTGGCGAAATCAACAAATCCCATAGGTAGTTCTTCCCAGACATATTATTAATTCGTGTACGTAAACGTAGAGAAATTTTGTGTCTCTTCATGTACAATGATAGAGAAATATGCAGAGCATGAATTGAGTTAGTATAGAAGCTAGAATTAGAAGGTTGTGCGGTTAAAACTGAGTCAATATCAGACAATATTAAAGCAATGGATTACACTGCTTTATTGAGTGACTATTTTCCTCTGTAGAAATTTGATGTTCATCCTCACTCTTCAAAATCTCAATGTTGTTGGTTCAGATGCAGTAGACCGGATGATGTCTTAGCACTGACTATCAGTAACTGTTGCATGATAGAGATGTTATCCCGATCAAGGGCTTGTTGAAGTGACCAGAGATACCAATAGATTGAACAGAAAAACTACTCAAATGGCCAATTCAATTTGTTCAGGATCTTGTTCCTCCTCCTGAAAACCCTTGGTTCCTTGATTGGCACCATACCCCATCCTCTAAGAATCATTCTGCAAAAAGAGATCAGAGGTTATTTGAGGCATAAAGTGAAGTTGCACTTGGTTCACATTACTTTTTTGAGGACTCCTGCTCCTTCCTACTGGAGGCTGTCCTACTACGGGTCCAGTTACATGACAGTGAAGGCATCTGTCAGTCATGACTTACTATAAGTATGGGAAATATGCCTTGAATGTGCATGCCAGGTATCCTTTTACAGTCTCACTCTGTCACTAAGGCTTTGACCTGTGTCAGATATACACTTTCTGTTAAGTCATAAATTGTATTACAATTCTGGATACATTGATGAATACATTTATCTTAAAGGATGTATGTTGAGAGATTTGACCCTCCCAACATCTGAGTATAACAAGGGGACTACTTTTGTTGGCATTGGGCAGGGCTGTTCATCATATTTTAACATGTACAAATAGTGAACTGTCATCTTCATAACTTACATAATTCACAGACGCACTAGGTAGGTTTACATGAGGAGACACTGAACCTAGGAGCTGCAAGAGGGTGTAACAATAAGCTTGCTTCTTCATTTTTTACTTGAACAGTTTCTTAAGTCATAGAGTAAACTTTTTGTTTTTCTTTTTTAAGCTTACTAAGATTCAGAGGAAACTGATGAGCCACCTAAATCTACACCTTTGTCATGTAGTCTTGATTCCATAGAAAACTATCAATGGTTATGTTATTCATTAGATACTCTCGTACAACATCTTATTTCCTTCTGTTTCTATTTTTGTTATTTTTTATACTTTCCTATCATTCTGATACTTATTAGTTTTTTTTTTCTTTTCTCTTATTAAAACTGTTGTCCATAGAAAATCCATCGTCAGAGCACTCAGCCAAATTTATAAAAAGGTTCATCGTAATAGAACCCCAGCTTCACTTGCACCCACTCCCTGGCTGACATCTAAACTACAAACATGATTGGAACGATGTCTAACTGTGGAACAGTTTCAAGCATTTCATTGATCACTTTTCATCCTTTTCTTGGTAGATCTAGCTTCGATTTTTCTTTGTATTTATTTATTTAGCTATTTTTATTTTTATTTTTATTTTTTTACCACGTGGCTTTCTGAATTTACTGGTTTGTGACCTCAGTGCGAGGATTATTACTTGCAGTTAGTAAATTTATGGTTATGTGTGAGTATGCAAAGCGTCAAAAGGTTCGTGTGGTTCATCGATCTGTACTTTAGGTCAAATTCCATCTTTAAAAAATACATCCTGAAGAATTGAGACTGGTATGGGTCGATATTATGCAATACGTAGATACATAATCACACTACAACTGGCACTGAATAAATCGGGGCCGTCAAGCGGTCAGTCCGTTCAAACAGAGACAGAAGTACCTGTTAATGACTGAATCGGGGCCGTCGTGCGGTCAGTCCGTCAGACTATTAAACAGTAACAACAATAACACAACCGCGTCGTCCAACGACGTCTTCATATAAAAAACCAGTAGTACCAATTCCATATTTCTCAACATGTCCTCCAAGGACACCCTAATATTGATTAATATCGACACATCTCAGCACGCAAATTCAGGGAACTATTAATGTTGTATTAAATTAAATACATTATCCATTCAGACTATCAACAGTTAAGAAGCCAATTGTACCAGGGCTACTAGGCATCCCATAGCAGAGGTATCTTTTTTAATGCTCAAATCAGGTAAGCACTACAATCACCAGTGGATTGAATAATTAAAGATGCTTACCTTTTTGGTGATTAATCCTGTTCGTGACGCCAAATTGTAAGGATGCCTAGCCCAGGTTCACATTAGAAAGAATCGAAGGTCCACACGAATGGTCATTTTGACAAGCTTTACTGATTACATATCTGGGTTACAGCTTCAGCAGGCCACAAGTGTGACCAACAGTGGTCCTCTACAAGTGTAACAAAGAGTGACCACCCCAAGTGTAGCAAAAAGCGGTCCACCCCCAAGTGTGGCCAACATGAGTGTAGCCAAGAGTGGTCCAAGACCATTCAAGTATATATAGCGATTCACAATCCTAAACATACTGTTGGTATTTAGTTGACCCTAAGAGAAAACCATGTATGGTAAAAACAAAGGACAACATATTTCAAAAGCCTTAGATGAACATGTGGAAGGTCCCAAGAAGGAAATATCATGGCAAACATATTTTGGGGACCTACATGGTGTAAATAATGTGTACAGGGTTCCTTGCTCAGGGATGGTTGTAGGAGGCCCCCGGCTCCAGCAATCTAACACCAAAGTGTCTGGGGTATTTGAGTGACACAGCTCCACCACTCTAAAGGCTGACATGACTGGCTAAAGAAACTCATCCTAACACGAATGTACTGTACTTCACCCAAAATAAGCATTAGAAGCCTGACAGAGCAATGTCAGCACCAAGCAACCATGCGACTTTACCTTAAGCCATTAAGTTGTACTCTTTGTACCATTAAACACTGGCCTCTGCCTGCTTCTTTCTTAAAATTCCCATAAATGCTTACAAAAAGTGTAGGAGCACAAAGCACATTGAATCATCTAGTGTCGCAATGAATAAATCCATCAACATGTCAAACATTTTACCAGAAACTTTGAAAATGCAAAAATGTCTGAGATTAATTTCTTGTCATTAACCTGTTTTTTTTTTTTGTCCAATCACAATGTCAAAAAAAAAAAAAAAAGACAAATATCAGGTGTAAAGCCGCGTTCAGACCAAACGCAACGTCGGTGACATGAGCAACGACTCCCAATGCAAAGTCTATGGACAACCGCGACCTGATGCGACTTGCCGACCGCCGGCTGCCGGCGATGCGACGTCAGCGACCTACGCGACCAGGTCGCGCATGGTCGCTGACGTTGCGTCGCCCGAGGTTGCAGGACGCCAAGTCGCGACGCTCCCAAAGTTTAAATATTTGAACTTTGGGAGCGACTCCATGCCGTGACAGCCAATCAGGGCTCTGCTGACGTCAACAAACCGGCAAAGCAAGGAGGAGGAGAAGAGGAATCACAATGAAGGAGCAGCTTATCACTGCCGTGAGTTATCACCCGGTCCTGTACGACATGGGGTGCGCGTGCTACCAGGACCGCACCTCCAAGGAGGAGGCATGGTTGAAGGTGGCCCATGATGTCGGGCTTTCTGGTAAGTTTGTTTGTTTATTTATTTCAGTGAACAGACTATTTTCTGAAAACATAGCAAACTTCCCCTGCTTGCTAGGCTACATGTTTCAATGTGTGTGTGTTTGTCTTTGCAGTGGATGTGTGCTGCAAGCGCTGGAAGGGGCTGCTGGATGTATGAGGGAGAAAAGGATGGAGAAGGAAGGTGGGAGAAGCGGGTCAGCGGCAACCAGAAGCGGGTCAGCAGCGATCAGAAGCGGGTCAGCGGCGACCAGCCGCGTCCTGCGACCTCCGTGACTGCAGCTTTGGACCCGGTGTGAACACACCAGGGCGCAACGCGACGGGAATACAATGACCAACGCGACTAGGTCGCTTCAGGTTGTGTTTGGTCTGAACGCGGCTTAAGTCTACAAGGAATACTGTCTTTCTAAAGTGAGGATCCTCATGTCATTCCTTTACTTTTAATGGCAAAGGAAGGGTATTGGACCTATGACATGAAATCGATACTGTGGTAGTCAAGCTGTCGTGTTTTACAGTCATGTCAAAGATTAAAATCACTTGTCCTCTAATGTAGTTCTCCTTGAAGTTTTGATTTAATTTAAATTTAAATCTTTTTTTGTTTCCCTCTCAACCCCTGTCTGTTCCTTAATTCAGTGCTGTCTTATTTTCAATGACTGCAATTAAGTTTTTAAGTTGGTACACAGATGGCAGACAGATAGTGTATGTACGCTTCAGTGACATTTTTTTAACCTTAACATCAGTGTGATCAGTATTTTACCAATAGTCTTGGTAGATAAGTACCATGAGCATACTAAAAAGAATAAGTATAAATTTAGGGCTATCTTATCACCTTTTGCATTATTTTTATCCTGTTATGCTCCCTCAGGTTCAACCTGGGGTCTGTTGCATAAAAGTAGGATTCAGATATCCAGGATAAGTGACTGAGCTGAGCTCAACGAATCCAAAACAAGAGTGTCCAGGCTTATTCGGTTGCATAAACGGTAATACAGGATGAGAAGAAACGGATTCATCGAGCCAGCACCTGGCTCCTTAAATAGACCCCCACGATCGATCACAGATTCACCTATTCACCATGACAACCAGGGCCGCATACTTCTCCCCGTCCGAGCAGGATATACTTATGGAAGCGTATGAAGAGATAAAAGATCAGATTTAAAAAAAAGGAAACACTGCCACGCTTTTTCTCGCTGTTTTATGGCAGTGGCGAAGTATTGCAGACCACCTGAATGCATAAGTGTTGCACAAATACACACTAACTACTCCTCTGAAACGTCACAATTGCAATCCAAATAGTTAATTAACATCTCGAAAAAAATAGTTGTAGCCTACTCTGATGATGAAACAGTTGAAATTGCAAGTGAAGATGACTGCAGAGAGAAAGTATGTAAATCCATGTTTGCTCCTCATGCTCCTCTTCTGTTTCATTCTTCATTAAAGCTGTCAAAATTAGTGACTTCATTTGAGTAAATTAATTTGTGGAATCAACTGAGTAGAATTTCTAATCATAATTATTTTTTTGACCTATTAGTGCAACAAATCCATAAAATTACAACAAAAAAAAAAAAAAAATCCCGCAAAAGAAAAAGACAGCCCTAATGAGTAACATTTATACGAACATAATTAAAATAACAGTGTCACTGCTGTTTTTGTGACTGTAAACTGAGGACAGAATGATAAAAGCCTTCATAATTTTTTACTTTTGGACTTTGACAAATTAAAAATTAACAAATTGAATGAAAATTTGTTAGAGCCACCAACGCCAGATGATGATCCAGTGAGTACTCCATCAAAGGCATACTGCAGGCCTGGCATGTCTAGTCTACTAGCTTTAATGTGAATCCCATTACATGTGATAGGATGAAGGCACCAGTGGAGCCGGAGGAGGAGGAGCAGCAGCAGCAGCAGCAGCAGCAGCAGCAGCAGAAGAAGATGACAATGATGATAACTTTGATGAGGAGACTGTCTCTATTGATTCAAGAAGGCTTGAGGTATCATGTAAAACTTGTGGAAGTACTCATTCAGTCTTAAATGATGAAAAGTCGTCATGTGGTGCCCACACAAAATGTCATTTCTGTAACAGGACCCAGATGCTGTACGGGGTGAAAGTCAGCCTGGCAAAATAGTGAGTATTAATGGAAGGATATTCTCATTATGCAAAATTCCCGCTGTGCTAATTGTCATGTGTTCACAGAGCTCACAGGCCATAAGACAGCTCTATGAAACACATCTAAAGAGGCAAATTCAACAATCAGAGGTCAATATTAAATATAAAAATAGACAGATGGCAGACCTCTCAGTGGAGTCTCAGATTGAAAGGAGGGCACTTCGAAAATTAAATCTTGAAATAAAAAAACTTTAGCGTGAGGTGAGTTATGCCTACAATGCACACTGTATGCTGACTGTAACACAAACAATGTATTTATCATTATTCTCCTTACCTCCCCAGCTACAAGAAGATGAACAGTAAATTAAAGGTGACATGAGATTTTGGTGTCTGCTTGTTTAATGTATGCACAGTTAGGGCTACCATAGATATGAACATGCCATTAAATCAGACTGTGGAATTGCCATCTGCCATCCTACCTAAGTGCTATGATTGGTTGGAAGTCACACACTAATGATCAACTGTATAATTATTATTATTATTATTATTGTTATTATTGAATTATTTCAGTTAAAATCTAGTTTGTAAATTTAAGTTACATATTGCCTGCAATTGCAGAGGAATTTATGTTGTGTTTTATTGATTTGGCCTATTGTGTTGTATACTGTGTGTATATAGGCCTGCCATTCTGTTCATTGAATATGGATTTGTCCTGCAGCTATTTCAGTGTGCTATTTCAGGATGTATTATATAGACCTCTGTGAATGTGTACTTGTTGTTAAATTATATGCTTGACTATGTGCTTTCTATCTTGTAGAGCACGTTTTGAAAGGTGCTGATGGTTTACTTGCTTTGATTCATCCTTATTCAAGAAAGGAACATCATGTTACTCTTTGTGTATTTTATATATATATATTTAATAATAGCAAAACCATTTATCTAAAATGATTGCAATTAATGATCACAAATGTTTAAATAATGACAGCGGGAATAGTTAAATGTGATAAAGTGTAGTGGGCAGTGGAATGAATATTGGTGTCCATTTGTGGTGACGGCTGACTGAGATAAGGGATAAGATTAAACGGATCCTGGAACTTAGCTAGCCTGGCTGGGCCATCCAGTTGCGTGAATCACTTGCCGTTCCTTCCCACGCCCCATTGAATATACTATAGCGCCACACAAAAGCATCAAAACTAATAGATTAGTACATTAGTTTATCATCCTCTGCTATAAATTATTGATAAAGACGTGTGTGGTATAAGTAGCTAACCCGTAGTAGCAATCAGTCTGTGGTAGGCTGATATTCCAACTTACCTCTGTCTCACTTTGTTGTGGGGGCATAATGTCAGTATCTGCTGTGTGAGTTGGGGGAAGACGTCTCGTTTTTTTTAGCTTCCTTGGGGTCTTTGATGGTGACTCTCGACTTTTCTATATTGCCATGATGTCTGCATTTGCCTCTTTTGACCGTTTCCACTCGTGGATAGTTAAAAATGATTGCTCTATTCTCTGGATTAATCTAAAACACTTTGTACAAACTCTACAGGATTTTAGTACCTGGTGACTCAATGTTAAAGCAAGTTTATCCAGACACTGAAAAACATCACTGCCACACGTTTCCCATATTAGTTTGGTATTACTCAGAACGCCGTTAATTCTGCAGTTGACTTTGCAAAGTCAGCAGAAATCGTTTATATCGCAGAAAAAGACGTAAAACACATTGTTTGCTTGCACAGGTTGAAATATTACCAAAAAAATATAACCGAAAAATATTACCAAACCTTTACTTGATGCTTGAGAGCCCAGCAGGGAACACAGTTATGCACTGTGATGACGTCAGATGTTTGGTTATGGTGATTGGTTACAGTAGTCTGTCTATCAAGGAAAGTACTCCCGCCCAGTTTCAGGGCTCCCAATTGGCCGAAGTCCAGACTGTTGTGGGAAGGAACAGCAAGTGATTCACGCAACTGGATGGCCCAGCCAGGCTAGAACTTAGCCTGGTCTGGAGCAGGCTAGCTCCACAGAATAAGTCCCCATGGTAACTTATGTCATAACATATCCTACTTTCCCCTATCCTACTTTTATGCAACCGGATCACGGATAAGTTGATCCAGGTTAACCAACATATCCCGGCTTAATCCCTTATCCTACTTTTATGCAACAGGCTGTATAGTGAGCTGAGTGAATGATGTCTTTCTTTGTCGTCACACATAAACAAACACTCAACGCCAACTAGAGAGTAGTGATAAACAACGTAAGGTTAATTTAGCCTGTGAAAGTGCTATACTTTTTTGCAAAAGTGAAGATACCTGATAATGTCTTTCATACAATAACGAAATCAGTTTTAATCTAAACAGTTTGATTCAAATCATTTTGTTGTGATTAAAGGTAGAATGAGCTGATTGCACTTCTTTTGTGGTTTATTTGTATTTACTCGATTTTATATCAATTTATTTAAGTTATTACATTCTCGGTATAGTCCTTATTTGTTCAGTTTGCTCAGTAGTTTACATGCCTGTGTGAAAAAGCTCTGGTTAATCAGCCATTTTTTTCATCACACCGCATGCATGCTAGGATATATTGTTTGGTTCATGACCATTGGTTGTACACTATTGTTACAGGGCATTGTAAGAAACAATGAGTCCACTTTACAAGGGACACATACATTTGCTCAAGATGAAAGCACAGGTAAGGGCTACCTGCAGGGCATTTCTGCCTGACGCACCTCCGATGGTGCCATTTGGTAGCTGCAGGGTCATCAGCCAGGGGCCACTCTTCAATAATTGGACAGTACTATAAAATGCCATATTCACTATAGAGGCTAGCACAATATAATGAGTAGTGAATGATTTCAAACACAACCAGTGTTTCATCTTAGTGCATGTGTGAGTATTATTTGATAGAGGACGTCGATGGGAAGGACATTTCTCTGGAAATCAAAATGGCTGGTAGTGTGACTGGGATTGAGGCACACTTTCACATCTCTGACAGTCTGAATGGGTAGCACTTAACATTAAATTTACATACATCAAAGACATGTTACAATGTAACTGTACAGAAACAGTAGGAGATGTATCCTGCTGCTCTGATTCCTGGTAGTTACACTCAAACAAGTGCTTTCTCTATGTTATCTTTATATGGATAATTAATGACCAAAGTAATATATATATTTTTACCTCCGCCAAGGAGGTTATGTTTTTGGTAGCGTTGGTTTGTTTGTTTGTCTGTTAGCAACTTTACTGAGAAATTTACAGACGGATTGACCTGAAATTTTCACCAGAGGTGCATTTCAGCCCCAGGAGGATCCCATTACATTTTGGTGGTGATCCGGATTGCCTTCTGGATTCAGGAATTTTTCGAAGGATTCTTTATCATTGTGAGATAGGGCAAATTTTGGAATTTTTGCATTTAACTCTACAAAAATGGCCAGAGTCTTTAGTAAAAAAAATTACACAAAAAGATCTCAATGAGTTTTATGAGGTGTCAAAAGTTGATCCTGATCCAGACAAAATTCTGGATACTGTGAGCTGCTTGGTGGAGGTCTGCGCTGTCCCACTGAAACTACCTCATTATAACAATTCATACTGGATTGCCTTATAATGGGCAAAACTCAAAGGATCCAGAACGGCTCCGCTCCGGCAAAACAGGTGGATCAAATACGCAAGCATTATAATTAATGTGTGTCATTCAACAGAATTAGTCCGCCCTCCGGCTCCACTGCCCATCAGCTCCAGCGGTTGGACCAGATACGCAAGGCTTATATTTTTGCCGGACACCACAGCACAGCGCATCAATTCAGTGCAGCGCAGCACAGCACGAGCAGCAGCGGATGTTGTTATACGGCTACAAAGTAAAATATCCAGTTAATTTTTCAAATATAAAAGAAAGTCAATACATTAAACTGTTGTTAGCTTGATAATAGGAGAGGCCAGGGTTGTAGCATGTGGGTGTTTATGTACACTGCCGTTTATATACACCGATCGGCAGATGTCATTCAATGTCTCATGGAGAAACACGATATCTTGTGAGATCTCGCCCAGTCTTGCGAGAACTATCAGTAATATCGTGAGAGTTTCTCCTCCGATGGCGGCAGATCGGATCCTGTGGTCGCTATATGCTTGCATATCTGATCCACCTGCCGGTCTGGAGTGGAGCGGAGCCGTTCCAGATCCTGTGGCATTCTGGGGTTACAATAATGGTAATGAAACATAATGGTCGAAAGAATCTCAACCTAATAATATGGTTATTACCAATTTTGTTTTCCATTAGGGTAACTATGACCTCCCCAAAGGGATAAATAAAGTTGTATTTGCTACTTGTAGCAAAAGTTGTATCTAATCCAATCTAGTTTTGGCTAATCTGGTCTAATCTAATCTATAATGTGGAAGCTATAATGCTTAAAGAAGCCAATAACACTAAGTAACCATCAGCATTACCTCTTTATTATCACTTTTTTAAAATCAGCAGCATGATATTACCATTATTCCATTACTTTTCATTGGTATTGCATTTTATCATTAGCATGTTATAAAAATGTTAAGGTCTACAATTTTTTCTTCATCATTACCCTTTGACCAAGTAACATTAGCCCAGCTAAAAGCTCTGATATTATCAAGATATTGTCTTAGTACTTGACAGAAAACAACATTGAATCCACATTTTTGCGAAGATTTGGGCTTTTAAAGGCTGTGGTCTTAAACTTTGATCAGCTGATGCCTATTTCAGCTTGATGGTTATTTGCAATACATTGCTTTGTCAAATTTTCTTTTGTCTCACTCCCATTTCTTCTTTTTGCATTTTGAAGCTTTACTTAGAACCT